CTTCAACAAGGAACACTATTAGTCACCATAATGTACATGATTCTTATCAGATCACTTTCCTCAAAGACTCCACACCCGGGAGCCAGGCGGTGCTGGAAGTGGTCAATGGACCGGAGGAGCTCGGTGACCAGGACTAAAGTCCCGGGTGTCACTCAGCTCGGGGCAACGTGTCCTGCATGGCCAGCCAAGCATTGGGTCCTGCACAGGAGGAGACTGAAAACCCTGGGCTTCCCCTGTGGTTCTAGTGCCTTCTCCAATCCAATCCTCAGACTCAGGGAGACCCTTGGCCGCTTCCCCAACCCCAGCCAAAGCTCTGGACACCCCCATGTTTATGTCAACAGAACAGTTGCTGGAGGGAGCAGACTCCTGCCCGCCAAGGGGTGTCCATCCAGCTCCTTGTTTGTGTACCTCGTCTCGGTAGTGACCAGGGGCAGGCATGCCCGAGCTAGGTATCTGGGGCAACGCACTGTTGAGGTCCCAGCTGTCCCTCCACTCGCTCCATCAGCGTGCTCCCGAGGTGTCTTCTTTCACAGGGTGAGAATTTAAGCCTTCCCCTGGTGAGGCTACTAATTTTCCACCAGCCCCCTCCTGGCCTCTCTACTCCCTTCCCGGTGAGGGCAGCTCGGCATCCAGCTGAAACCCAAGGAATAGCTGTGCCTGGCCCTTCTCCTCTGCAACCTCCTAGCACCTCGGAATGTTTCCTGAAATGCCCATGGGAAATGGGACAGGGAGAGGCAGGCTGCGGTTTCTCCTGGTCCTAACCCAGCTCCTTCCAGCCGCTGCCACCTGACAGAAAGGGCTGGGGCCTCGAAGGACAGATTGGGAGAATTCCCTTTTTGGTTTCCATCCCCACTCACCAGCTGTCTTGTGTCTCTGTGCCTGTACCCCCTACACACACACCCTCCCTCATATACCAATTGCTTCCAGAGCCCAATCTCCCTGCAAGGATCCTCCCCCAGCCCCCCTCCTGTATCCTCCTCCCTCAGAGCCTGGCCTCTGGAGTCCTGGCAGCAGTAGAGACTGAATGGCAAAAGGGTTAAGGGCATGACACTGGAAGCACATGGCTCTCACTAGCTCTGTTACTTTGGGCAGGTCGCGTAACGTCTCTGGTCTCAATTTCCTCACCAGAAAAAAAAAAGAGGATAATACTCCTACCTACCCCAACATCCTTGTGAGGACCAGATGAGTTCATTTATATGACCTGCTTAGACCAGTGTTAGGCCCCCATTAAGGGCTGTGCTGCTGTCACCTCTCGCTGTTGCTGAAATCCAGGCAGCATGGCACAGAGGGGAAAGCTTGAAACTTGGAGGCTGACAGACCAGGGTTCAAATCCCAGCATCCCACTGACTCCTTCTATGGCCTTAAACTAGATACCTTATTCCCCAGTTTCCTCCTTTGCAGAAGGAGCATATTGATAGAAACTTACCCAATAGTACTAACATGAGGGATGGGGGATGCCTGACCTAAAAAGAGTCTAGTGGCAGCTGCAGGAGGAGGCGTCAGGCTCCTGGCACCTGATCTCCCAGATTAGCTGCTGCACTCTGAACTTGGCGGGGGAACCTGGTCTGACTTGGAAAGGAGAGCAGGGACCAGCCAGGAATTCAGGCCCCCAGGAGGTGCCATAAATAGCCCGAGTTGTCAGAGGGCCTCCAGGGAAGGCGGGTGGGGGGATGGGGGCTGGAAAGGAGCAATGGAAAAAGGAAGCTGTCAGTCATCAGTCCAGGGGAGGGTCTAGTGCACACACTCAAGTATCAAAGGAAAACCCATATATGGGTAGGAGTGAGGGGTCACCTCTTCAGACAGGACCAGCCTGGGACCACCTCTGAGCCACCTTCCAACATCACTCAGAGTCAGAATGTTTTGGCCTCGCTGTTCATCCCCACCCTGCAGATCCTCAGGAGTCAGCTCTGGGTCTTCATCTCCATTCCCCTCGCCATTCTGAACTAGAGAGCAATAATAACTCAGCTTATGTCACTGGTGCGAGCACTGAGGCCCAGAGATGCTAAGTGATTTGGCTGAAATCACACAGTGAATCAAGGGCTGAGATGGGGATTTTTTTTTTCTTACCTCCCGATCCAGGGCTATACATGACAGCCCAAACATAAGAAAGTGTCCTCAGGGAGGAAGTCTTTCCCACAGTGAAACAGTGAGCTGAGAAGACCCCTCCTCCTTGCTTTCCATCCCCAGACAGTTTCTCCCTTGAACCAAGCACATCACTGTAGCTTTGACTCAGAAACGGGAGAAGGACGCGCATTGATAAATAATGCTTCAGAGATAATAATCATCAGAGCTAGCTGGGTGCAGCTCTGGAAATAACTTAGGCCCAGAAGACCTAGACTTACTTCCTCGTGAATCTTGTATAAATCCCTCACCTTTCTGAGCCACAGGTCCCTCGCTTGCAAAATGAGGCCAATAATACACACCTGTGTGAGCTTGGCGTGGGGACTAAATGAGATAACGCTTGCTGGAGCGCCTGGTGGTGCCCCGAACATTATAAAGACTGGGAGCTCCTGGGGAGGCAGTGCCTTCTTCATCTCTGTATTCTTGGTATTTACTACAGTGTCTGGCACATAGGGGTCCTTGATAAATGTAGATCAAATAAAAGAATGAAGTCAACTCTTTGCATGTAAATGTTGTGGGTGTGTGATGATAATAATAATAATGTATGCTTGCTGTTTATCAGATATCCCTGCCTTTTCTTTTTGGACACAGGCACTCCTGCCACTAACCTGTGCTTTATGCCCTTGGAAAAAAAATGCCTGAAAAAAAAAAATCTCTGGATGAGAATGCTTTTAGGGGTGACCGATTAGCTCAGTTAGTTAGAGCGTGGTGCTGATAATGCTAAGGTTGCTGGTTCAATCCCCACATGGGCTATTGTGAGCTGCACCCTCCCTAAAAGAGTCAACTGTGCCATTGTAGCATGAAAGTAATGTGTAACCAATGACCATGGCTGTTCCCCTAATAAATTTTTTTAAATGCTTTTAGTAATAAACCCAATAGGTAGGTGACTATATATTTCATTGTCTGTGCTGGGGCACTTTGGGGGTGAAACGGACTCTAGCAATAATTATGCCTGGACAGCAGGTATAAACTTTGACCATCCCAGGTGAACCAAAATGCTTGGGCATCTTAGGGTATCATGCTGCACAGAATTCTCTGGAGGAGAGAGTCCCAAATCCTCCAAACCATCCTGAGTCTTATTCTCTAGTCAGACCATGGAAAGAGTTCCTACCTTCTCATCTTCACCACCCAAACCCATTGGGAGCTGTATTCAGACCAGCTCCCCTACGTTCTTACTTTCCTCATTTTCAATCTGTAGGTGACCCAGACCCCACCCTTTCATTGCCCTAAGAATGCCCTAGAGTGTTTGCACTGCCCCAAACATGAAAACCTGTGGCCCCTGCTAAGCACCCGTCATATAAACTGCAAAAACCATCCATCCATCTCCCAACGCCCTTCCATCTCAGGAATTTTCTAGGGGCCCCAGTCATCTCTCATTAATTTCAATAGGCTTCTAACTGGACCCTCTACCGCTGCTCTTTCCCACCTTTGGTCTATCTTCAATCAAGCAGCCTGGGGGATCCTGTAAAAACATAAGTCAGACTATGTATCTCATCTATTCAAAGACAGCGGCTTCCCATCTCACTCAGAAAAAAAAAAAACAACCAAGGTCCCTATAACAGCCCATCAGGGCCCCCTGCCTATTTAATCCTTGTTTATTTCTCTTGCCTCATTTCTAGGACTCTCCAGTTACACAGGTGTCCTTGCTTGTTCCCACCTCAGGGCCTCTTTGCACCTGCTCTTCCCCTCCTCGGAACACTTTCCCATCAGATATCCATATGATGATTTCCCTCACCGCCTTCAGATCTTTTCTCAACAGTTTCCTTTGCAAAGTCCTTCCCTGACCATCCTATGGAAAAATAACACACTCCCATCACCCTGTCCCCCTTCCCTGCCTTCTTCCTTAGCATTTAGCTCCACCAAATAGATCAGATGTATTACTTACCCTGTTTATTGCCTAACCCCCTCACTCTCCACGAGGGCAGGCATTTTCATTTGTTTTGTACTTTGCTATATCCCTAGTACCTGAAACAGCACCTGGTGCATAGCAGATGCTCAATAAATATTTGTTAAATGAATAAAGGACCCATAAGATAGAACATAGCATGGTGGTTGAATGTTTGGCCTCTGTAGTAAAAAAAAAAGCCTGGGTTTTAATCCTGGCTGGGCAATTTATGGGCTTATGAGCTTAAGCAAGGCCCTTAACCCTTCTGTTAGTCTCGATTTCCTCATGTGTAACATGGGGATAATACACGTTGCCTCCCAGGCTAGGAGAATAAAGTCCAATTTTGCGTGTAAATAAACCACTAAACTCACTGCCTGGCCTATTTAAAAAATTCTAAGCTTAGTAAATGGCAACATTGTTACCACTGGAGGTTCCCAGTAGATTTTACATTGCATTTTGTACCCAAATCAGCATCAGCTGCCTTTGAGTGACAACTCAGCGTCTTTCCAAATGGGCAGTTCTTATTCCAACCTGAACCTACGTTTCCCCAACCAACCGGCCTGGGTCTCTTTGAGACCACCTCAACATATGCCTCACCCTGCTTACATCTCTGAGAGCTTCCTTCCTAAATCTCAGGATGCGTGCCCTTGGGCCCCTTTTCACAACTGCCCTTCTACCCCCCACCCCTGCAGTAGAGCTGGGAAAGTTGTATAGGAAACAAAGGGAAGGATATAAGGTAAGGGAGGAGAAGGGAGAGAATATAAATATATGTGTGAGCCAGGGGAGAGAGGGAGAGCAGGTCAAGCCATCCCCACCTGCCAGTTTCCTGTCTTTGCCTACTGATAAATAGGGGATACTAGTAGCCAGATTTTCCATTCCACACCTCCCCCTGCCCCCGCCCATCCCAGCACCCACTGTCACTCAATTGAAAAAAGAGGAAGAGGGCCTGGGGGAGGGGCAGCAGGCCTCTGGTTATAAAGCCTGTGGTGCTGGGGTGAGCGCACTCAGCTTGGCCTGCCCAGTCTTCTGCCTGTCATCCCCCAGCAGATATAGCTGCTGACAGCTGCGTGGGACTCTGCTGCCAGGCCCTGGCCCAGACTGCCACCTCTCCTCTCTCTCAGTGACTCCCCAGCCGCAACCCCTCCATGGCCCAGAAAGAAGAGGTTGCCGAGGCTTCGGCGCCAGCCTCTCAGAATGGAGAGGATCTGGAGAACCTGGAGGACCCCGAGAAGCTGAAGGAGCTGATTGAGCTGCCGCCCTTTGAGATCGTCACAGGGTGAGAGCCAGCGTGGCCTGGGTGGGGAGAGCACCGGCTGGTGACAGGCTCGGGGAAGGCTGGTGACAGGCTCGGGGGAATTTACGATAATAGTAGGGGTCAGGGTCAAACTGTGAGAGTACGCAGGTATGAAAGGTAGGGGCTTCAGGGGACACAGCAGCAAATCTCTCTTGGATTCTAGGGGAGATACCATGGACCCTCTAATCAGGGGGGTTAGGAGGAGCTCCTGGGAGGCAAGGGCCCAGGGAATGAAACCACCCCTGAGGCCTCCTGGTCTTGTGACATCACCTGCCTCTCTGGGTAGAGGTGGTTTAGTCCTGGGGAATTTGGTAAGGATGTAGAATGACATTGGCAATTTAAGTATGGCCCCAGTCAAAGGAAGTCCTCCCTCCAGTTCCCTCTCTGCTTCTGCGTGGGCCTCTCTTCTATCTGTATGTCTCTCGCTCTTTCTTTTAGAGCTTCCCTCTGGAGTAGAAGATCCTAAGACAAGGAAGATAGTCTCGTCCTTTCCTAAGCCTGAGTGAAAAGCACTTTTTCCCTTGTTCAATCTTTTCTGAGTTTCACCAGGGGCTGTCCACATCCACCCCCGGGGAAGGAGAGACGGTAACACAGGCCAGGGCCAAGAGATTCTGGATGGAGGAGGTATTCCCAGCCCCTCAGCCTGAAGGACCCAGGACCCAGAGCAAAATTCTCGAGGCCCCAAAGAGAAGGCCACAGACAGGGTCTCTCTTGTCTTGTCCAGACCATGCTGTCTTCAGGAACAAGACCAAGTGGTCTTCCTTCTCTTCTCTGTGTCCTTTTAGTAGATAACCCTGCTAAATTCCTAAGTGAAGACTAAGAAGGGGATACATGAAGTCACATTTCCTCCTGAGCCCCGAGGTTTCCTTCCAGGGATTCTCCTGCAATGCTCACAGGCAGGGTAGGGGCTGCACTAAGAGAATTTTCAGGAAGAATGGAGGTGTGGTGCCTTCAAGGGGCAGACACACCTGCTGTGGCAATTTGGACCTGCTGTTTTAAGCTTGGCAAGTGATTTTCCAGTCCTGGCCTCGGGTTTTCCATTGGTAACCTGGGGAAGTTATGTTAGTTGATTCCTAAGGTCCCTTCCACCTCAGATAGCTTCTGATTTATAAGACAACCTGAGGAGGAAAAACAAATGCATCCTAATTCCTGAGGCAAACTCAGTGTAGAACCCCCAAATTTGCATTCGTCCATGCCCAACCATCACCCTCAAGCTAGGATTAAAAAAGCAACAGGCACAGATTAACAGACTAGGGAGAGCCTAGTGCCAGCAGCCCAGGAGAGTCCTCGATTCCAGTGGCTCTCTGTGGAAGGAGATCCTTTTTCTAACACCTAAGCACGCTGGTCCAGGCTGTCCTGGTCACAGATATGCACATGCACGCCCACTCTGCAGTGCTGTGATCTCTCCAGCACAGGGGTGGGGTACGTCCCTGAACAGGATTAGACTAGGTTTGTTGAGTCAAACAGGCTTTGGGGGGCCCAGGGTGGTGGATACTAAAGGGTTAAATCCCCTGATGTAACTTACATCTGTCCAGGGCTTTATAATCACGGCATACCTTCCCATGCATGAGCTCATTCAACCCTCAGTACAGTGCTAGGAGAGGGAGCTATATTATTGCCACTGTCAGATGGGGCAAACTGAGTGTCAGAGAGATGGAGTGATGTGTCCAAGACCTCAGAACCAGTAAGTGGCAGCCAAGTGTCCTTTCCACTGCTTTCTTATTCATTCGGGGTCCCAAGTTTCTCAAACAACTCCATCTCCCTCCATCTGCCAGGTAGTGAGATTCAGAGGCTACCCTGATCCAAGATTCAGAAAAAGAGGAACAGAGGGGTAGCTTTCTGGACTCGCTGAGAGCAGCTCAAGAGAGGTGGAGCCCTGTGTTTCCCAGCCACAAGGAACAGCTGTGGAGATCTGTCTCCTGGGCACTTCTGGGTAAACAGATGGCTTAAAATAGCCCAGAAGTGTGGCTGTGTCTGTGCAGGGACAGTATGAGGGAAGAGTTTTCCTCTCCTTCCCTCTTCCAGGTGCCCTGGAGTCAAAGGGGCCCCAAGTAGGTTTTCTCCTAGCTGAGACTCCCACAGGAAGTCCTTATAGTTGGGCCACAAACTAGCAGAAGATCAGGCGGCTTTTCAGGAAACAGTCTGAGGTGGGAAGGGAGTATTGAGTAGGAATAAAGAGAGATACCCTGCTTGTCGTGATTCTGGTTTGAATAGGACACTCAGTGTTGAAAGTAGACATAAGAGCATTAACAAACTAATGTGGTAGAGCAAGGTCTAAAATGCCGTCCTTTGACCTCACATTGGCTGAGAGTCGATTGTGCGCATCTCTTTCCCAACTTTATGTTCAGTGACTTCACACTGGTTTCTTGAAGTCTCCACAATGAGAGTGTTTGCAGAAATCAGCAAACGTTAGAAATCAGGGCTTTTTTCTTTCTTTCTTTCAGTTTGCTGGGTGCTAAACTAGCACACCACTGAAAGAGAGGACCCTCCGAAAATGAGAGGAAGAGGAGAAGGGATGAGGTTTGGGAGTGCTTGATGGAGCTCTCACGGATAAGATTTGAGGCCCAGAGAACGCATCACCCATCAGTACTAGGTTTAACTTCTTGAGTGTCGACAATTGTTCAAAATCTGAGGGGTTAGATTCCTCAACCTATCTTTCAGATAAGAAAACCAAGCCTTAGAGTAATTTTCCCAAAGCTAATGGATGGAGTAAGGCGTGAACCCCAGGACTGTCTGACTCCACATCGTCACACTGTGTCTAAAAAAAGCCATAAAGATGAGTCTTTTTATAGTCAACAAATATTTACTGACTAGGAATCATTTCTTTACTCCTTGTTTCCCCCTGCTAATATTTAACTTCAATGAGGGCGGAGACCTTGTCTTTTCAACTGCTGTGTCCCTAGCACCAAGAATAGTACCCCGCTCCTAACAGGTACTCCATAAATATTTGGTTTTTAATAAATAAATAACGAATGGGCACCTAGTATGTGTTGAGATAGGGAATTACCTGTGGGGAGGACTTGAGGAGACAAGTTCAGGATACATGAAGACCCAACAGCACTAGGCTTAGTTAGAAGAGGCTGACTTTGGTTCATGGCTGACTCTGGGCTCAGCATGTTTTCGGAGAGTGCTAGACCACCAGGAATTGGTTGTCTCCCCATCTCTCCATCCCAGTGACAAGTGACTGTGGCTCTGCCTGGCAGCACCTGTGTGTCTGTCTTTGTCTCTAGTTATGTGATATATGATTTTGCATAAAGCCGAACCTGTTCTGAGAGGGGCTATTATGGAACAGATAAATAGCACAGGCAGTGATTCTACTTCCAACCACTTCTTTAGCTTCTGGTAATTTACTCTGACCACGTAAGTGACACAGACAGACAAGGCAGGGTTCAGGGGAGAAGGGACAGGCAGGAAGAGAGGTGCCTTCAACACCATTGTGAAGGCCACAAGTCCCCCGTCCCTTACCCTGGACTCTGGAACATGTTGGAAAGGTTTGCTGCATAAAGATAGAAGACAGACACTGACTCTGACCACTCTAATCTCCACTGAGAGCTGGTGGAAGGTCAAAGCTCAGTGTAAAGACGGTGCCTCCCAGGGAAAAGGGGCAGACTCATGACTTGCCTATCCACAGCTGCCATGCAGGAGCAAGCAGCCGTCAAACGCCTTCTCAGCTGTAGGAAGTCAGTCTGTTAGAAGCCTCTCTGCTTCTCTACACTCCTCTTTCTGATGAGGCCCACTCCTTAGCATCCAATTTGAAAGTGGTCTGAAAAATGGAAAGGAACCTGAAACCCGGCAATTCTGCCTCTTTTGAGTAGGTCATGAAAGGTCTGGTGAGGAAAGCTGAAATGAGTCAACACTCAACTACCTGTGGGTGGATTTTCCACTCCATTGATTATCTTGGAGCAAATGCTTAATCTCAGACCAGCTTCTACTGTCCTCTGGGTTGCTTCTTTTTGCTGTATAGATTTATGCTTAGGAAATGGAAAATGCAAATGTTTTGAAATGTGAACGTGATATATATATATATATATATATATATACATATGTATGTATATACATATATGTGTGATATATATGTATATATGTACATATATGTATATATGTGTGTGTATATATATATTACACAGAGAGAGAGAGAGAGCTAAAAAAATGTGTACACATTTTAAGAAAGGAAAAAACTATTAAAATTACACTGAAGGTAATCACTTTGAGCATCTCTTGTAATTGCAGAGTCAAATGTGACTTGTATTCATCTTGTGTTATCAGTATATATTATTGCAATTTTAATACAGTTTTTCTTTTCTTAAAACGTGCATACGTTTTTTGGCACCCTCTGTATATATATGCACATTTACTCACATCCCTTCACCCTCCAGCAAGCAGACCGTTTTCCCCAGACATTAGGAGTCTGTCTCCTGCGCAGAGAATTGCAATGACCAGTAGCCTGAGTCTAAGCAGATGAAGTGTGAATGGCCTTGTTTGCAGAAAGAATGAGGAAATGGTGCTTAAAGAGGTGTGATGTGAGGCTGGGAGGAGGGGATAGGAATAATGAATGCTGCTGATTTCTGTGCCTGAAGAAGTGACCGAGTCCAGGTGAAAAGCTCTCCCTTCAGCATCTCTAGCCTGACCGCCACTCCAACATACACGCACATACCCCCCCCCCCCCCCCCCCCCCCCCCCCACTTTCACAGTAAAATATTTGCTGGAGCTGAGAGTGTTAGTAAATATGGTCCTCAGGCATACCATGCTACTAGAAATAAAAAGACGTTTGTGATTATCCAAGAGTTAGTGTCACTCTTTCCTTTCTTCTACTAGTGAGCATAATAGTGTGGACTTGTTTTGTGATTCTCTAATATCACCCAAGGTGACCATGTTAGCTCCCTGGAAAAGTTTCAGACCTCTATCAACTCTGTTCTCTGGGTTTCCCTGGTGGGAGGCCTAAAAAAAGCCTCATTCGACCTTTATGCTCCTTCCAGAAGACCAAAAAGGAGAGGAGCCAAGCAAGCTTAGTCTCGGAGGAAGTCCAAAGGGAAGACTGGGAGCCTAGACCTTCCCTGACATTCCTTTGCTCCTCAAAAGTACTTCTGTCCCTGAGGCACCTGTTCTGTCTTATCGTATTGTCTCTATTGAGGGACAGGGTACACCGTTAATATAGGGAAGGGGCAATCATATAAGGAAGGGACATGAGGACTATTTTTGCAGGAGAAGAAACGAGGAGGTTGGATGCCAAGCTGCGTGCTGCCAGACACAGAGCTCAGGCAGACGTTAATCAATCACACAGCACAAACTATCCAAAGGCTATAAAGCAAAGAGATCCCACTATGGCCATTCCTGTAGTTAAGCCCTCTGCAAATAAGACACGGGGTGTGCTTTACAAGAGTTAAAGACAAACCTGCCCCTATTCTTCCTGCATCTTTACAGAAGTTAAACTTATTGTTCTTCTTTCCTCCTTTCCGCCCATACCCATACATTTTCCATGGAAGTGGAAAACATATATAAGCCCTAGCCCAGGGGATGGAGGGGGTCTCTCTTCCACTAGTGATTAGAGACTGTCACTGTCTGTGGGGTGACCTTTGTTTTCTTACTTACTTTCTGCTAAATAAACTTACTTTTCCTTTAAACTCTATATCGGCTCACGTTTGAACTCTTTCCCATGTGAAGCCAAGGACCCACTTTTCCTGTAACACCATGAGGCTGCTAGCCAGAGGGGTTGGAAAAGATATTTAGAAAGAGGTGAACTCTTTTCCTCTCCCTTGGGCCTCATGTTTCTCAGGGTCCTCTCTGTTAAGACAGAGGGATTGTAATGGTGGCACTAAGTCTTCTATTTTGAGGTTTGAATCTCTGGTATAATTTGATTTAACAAGTGTAATTTAGCTTGGGACTTTTTGAAAGTTTTTTTCTTTCTTCCCGTTGCTTCCTTTCTGCCGCTTCCTTGCAACCAACTGTTTTGGTTTTTTTTTTTGTTTGTTTGTTTTTTGGGGGGGGTGGCAGGGGGTTTGTTTGTTTTTAACTTTACTGGGGAACAGTGTGCTTTTTCCCAGGACCCATCAGCTCCAAGTCAAGTTGTTGTCCTTCAATCTTAGTTATGGAGGGCGCAGATCAGCTCTAAGTCCAGTCGCCATTTTCAATCTAGTTGCCGGGGACGCAGCCCACCATCCCATGCAGGAGTCGAACTGGCAACCCTGTTGCTCAGAGCTGCTACTCTAACCAACTGAGCCCGGTTTTGCCATCTGTATGGGATTCACTCCTGACTCCAACTTAAATCTACATAACATATACAACGGTGGCAATAACCGACATAACTGCTCCTTCTCCCACCCCAACTGGCAAAGCCGAACTCTCTAGAAAAGTTCACTACAGGCTGAAGAAATTTACACCCTGACTAGGAAATATAAAACTGAAGATGAAACAGACTCAGGGCAGTAGTTCCTGCAGACTCTGCCCAGTCGATCCTCCTCTTACTTTAATAAATCTTCTCTATTTCTACCTGACTTGTGAATTCTTTCACGGCCCACAAGCAAGCGAGCAGCCACAACACTCTCCCCTTGCCCAGGGAAGAGGAGGAAGGGAAAACATCAGAGCTTAAGAGGGGCTCAGAAAAGCAGCAGTCTCAGACCATCCAGCAAATTTGGCAGACTGGACCAAATTCATACTCTCTGCTGGGCTCTACGTGGCGAAGTTGGAGCCATACTTTGTGGGGTTCCAGAAGGAAACCTAAGGGACCACACAGGCAGGTATTGCTGAAGCCCCCCAAGCCAACCATGCAGTCATGAATACAGTAGGTCCTCCAATAACATGGGTTCTTTCACTGTTGATGACATGCTGTAGGAGCTTAAGTCTTGTTGACATCAATTAGCCTATGGTGAAATTGGTTTCTTTATACATTGTTTCCCTAACGTCGCAGAACTTATTGAGCATTAAGTGAGGACTTATTGTACTTCCAAGGGTTTCACCTGTTCATCTAGAATCCTCAGAATTAGATATGGGGTGGGGGTGAGGGTGGCCTGGTAAAAGGCCTTGACGAGCAAAAAAAGGGTTTGGATAAGAAAGGTAAACTCAGTGCTTCTCAGGAGGAAAAAGCCACTCCAGGAAGAGAAGGGATCATTGAGCAACAGGCAGAGCTCAGGAGTGGTCTGGTGGGGTGAGCTTAATTAGGGAGAGCTAATCACAGCAGGGATTGAAAAAGGAGAGGGGAGTCATCAGGCCATCCATTCTCCCCAAATGTTAAGTAAATAATAAACACATCCAACCAGGGACAAGGGGTGCTTAAAGAGCTAAATATAGTGCCCAAAGCAAGCCCTAAGGCTGGGTCCTCACACACATCCATCTCCGCAGTGAAAACTGAACTTGACAGCAAGGGACATGGAAACTTGGGTGGACAAAAATTGGTGGTGGGGGAGGGGAGCACTGCAGAGAAATAGCTCAGGTTTACTCAGCAATTTGGCATCTGCTGCTTATCCCTAAGAAGCCGAGGCACTGGGACCCTAGGCATTCCCCTGCAGCCCAGGAAGTTGGGTGACCGCTCTAGAGGAAACAAAAGTGGGGGAGAGAGTCAACAGGGGAGTTAACGATTGCCACATGTATCTCCTGGGACAGCCTGAGAGATTACATTTTTTATTTTTATTATTTTTATTTGTTTTTATTATTATTTTTTAAGATTTTATTGGGGAATCAGGGAAGGGGAAAAGACAAGTTGCTGTCCTTTGGTTCTTCAGTCTAGTTATGGAGGACGTCGCTTCACTGGCCCATGTTGGTATTATCATTGCACTCTTCCCGGATGAGGCAGCCACTCGCTGGCCATTGGACGGCTGCTCACAGTGGCTCACGGCAGCTCACGAAAGCTCACGCTCGCTGCTGGCCAGCCCCACTGTAGCCTATGCTGGCGCCAGTGACTCATGGCAGCCCAGCTCCAGGTCAAGCTGTCATTCACCATCTTAGCTGTAGAGGGCACAGCATCACTGGCCCTCATCTGTGGGATCTGAACCGGGGCCCTGCTGCTCAGAGCTGGCGTCCCAAGCCAACTCCTAACCAATGCGCCACTCGGCTGGCCCCGAGAGGTTACATTTTTTAAAAAGAAAATATTCAACCTGTCCAGCTGTACTCATCCCTTGCTCTCCTTCTGGCATTTTCAGTCTCACCTGTTAAATCCTCCTCATTTTCCTTGGCCTTCAAACCTGCACCAATCTTCCCAATTTTAGAAAATCACACGCATACACATAAACGATAAAAAGAGTCTTCAACTCTGACTCCCTTTCTAGCCCATCTCCATTTTTCTCTCTTTCTTATTACTGCTAAACTTTACAAACAAACAAACAAACAAAAAACCCTCGGCCTTTCTCTGCTACTTTCATTTTCTAATCATCCATCTCCCCCTTGACGCCACTGGACATATTATTCATCACCAAGTCTGGTGTCACCAAGGGGCTGTCTTCATTTCGGGCTTTCCTCAGTTTCACTGTCTGCCTAAAGCCACCACAGTCCTCTTCCATGGACATGCCTTTTATTATGCCTTTCTTTACTCAAGAACCTATCACGATTCTCTATTGCCCCATGAATGACGGCTAAACTTTCAAGAGGCTTCATATGCCCTTCACTCTACCTACTTATTTGGAGCAGTCAACTATTGTTCTCAACTGCCTTATTTACGTCTCTGTCCAACTAGAATCCAGCTGCTAGATGGTAAGCATCTGGAAAGCAGAGGCCAAATCTTTCATGATTTTGAAATGACTCAGTACTATATACAAGCTAAATCATATCAAGATACCTTTAGGTAGTGTGGCCTCGAAGATAAAAATTATTGGACACTCATGTGACAACCCTTCTTTTCACCAGACGGCTTGAGAAAGTCACTAGGAGAGAACAGCACTGCAGGTTAGGCCACTCCATGCCTAAAATGCAATATACGTGAGTGACAAGGAGCAGGAATGAAAGTATGACATGTTCTGCCAAACGTTTGCCTTGCTCTGTCATGAGAAATTTGACATACGTGCTACTTTGCAAAATTACTACTTGAACACCGCTTTTCAAACCTGGCCACATATTAGGTTCATCTGGAGAGCTTTTTACGATGCTGGTGCTTGGGCCCCCTTCCAGATGTTCTGCTTTAATTGGTTTAGTGTGGGGCCCAGGCATTGATGTTTGTACAGTCCCCTAGGTGACACAAATGTAGAGCCAGGTTAAGTCACTGAATTTAGAAATGTAGGCATGTGTTATATGTTGGGAGTGATGGAGTGTTTGGAGACCCTTCCTAATGGGGTGACCAAAAGGCACCTCACTCCAAATTCTCTCCTCTCCTCCGGATAAACCCTTTTGGGTTCTTTCATGCCTTTTTGTCACTGATGTTACCATAGGAAAGGCCTGTGTTAAAAGAGTGAACGTATGTCTGAGATCGTGCAGAGCGACCTACTCCAGGCTGGTCCGAGAAACAAGAACTCATCCTTCGTCTTCCCTGTCCCTTTGTCTCCTTAACCCCTAGGGAGCGGCTGCCTGTCAACTTCTTTAAGTTTCAGTTCCGGAATGTGGAGTACAGTTCTGGGCGGAACAAGACCTTCCTCTGCTACGTGATTGAAATGCAGGACAAGGGAGGCCAAGTGCAGGAAACCCGGGGGTACCTGGAGGACGAACATGCTGCTGCCCACGCAGAGGAAGCCTTCTTCAATAACATCGTGCCGACCTTCGACCCGGCGAAGCGCTACAATGTCACCTGGTACGTGTCCTCCAGCCCCTGCGCAACTTGCGCTGACCACATCATCAAAACCCTGGGCAAAACCAAGAACCTGCGCCTGCTCATCCTGGTGGGGCGCCTCTTCATGTGGGAGGAGCCGGAGATCCAGGCTGCGCTGCGGAAGCTGAAGGAGGCTGGCTGCAGGCTGCGCATCATGAAGCCCCAGGACTTCGAGTACATCTGGCAGAATTTTGTGGAGCAAGAAGAGGGCGAGTCCAAGGCCTTCGAGCCCTGGGAGGACATTCAGGATAACTTCCTGTACTATGAGGAGAAGTTGGCGGACATCCTGAAGTAGGCGAGTGGGCTCAGCCTCACGTGAGTCATGGCACCATCACTCTATTTAAAACTGTCAACGTGGGTAAGAAGGCTTGAGGTCAGGTGGATCGAGCGGGATGTTTGATTTGCCTTTGGAAGGATTTCTCTTTTTGTTGGTGGAAAACCTTTTAGAAGACCCCGGTTCCTTTTACTTCCTCTCAATTCCTCTAAGTCCTTTTCCCTTCAACCCTTTTATATCAAACTAACTTTCCCCATAATATGGAATATTTAAGGTCGTCAGGAATCTGAATGCTTTGATGTGACAATGACTTTCTGTAGTAAGATTTAGATGGTGCAAGGGCTTGCTACTTGACCACGGCCTAGAAGATATTTCAGTTCCCTAAGCGTGCCCCCATGCATGTGTCCAGAATTAGTGATTGTAGATGCCCTACTCCCACCCCCAATTGCAATCCTACCATTCCATTTTTCTCAAAAGCAGGTGTTTCATTCCATCAGGGGCAATTTGATCATTTTGGGCACTTTTGAAATTCTCTAAATTTGTATTCACCTTTTTTTTTTTCTGGCCAGAGCAGCTTTCATGCTTTCAAAATGGTTCTGCTTTGAAGGAGAGACCAATTGCTGTGTGAATATATAATACAAGAACATTTTATTTATTTTGTATGTTGAGAAGACCTCAGCAGGACTCACAGAAAAATGCTGAATGCAGGAATGGGCATAATACAGCAACAACTTCTATGCAGGAATGTGTAAAGGGTTGAAAAAATGTCTGTAAATTATGCAGCAGCTCAGAAGTAGCCTACTAGACATCAAGATGTGATAGGAGCACTGGAAGTAAAAATTAGCTATTTAAGCAAATAATTAGGACACAATTAAGGCCAATTTGGCCTCTTGCTGCGGGTAAATTAGACTCTTGCAGAAACAGGCTGATTACCCCCAGGAAAGAGGGTAAAGGATCCTTTACTGTCTTTTTTTGAATTTGGTCTAGTTTGCTCCCACAGCAATGCTATGACTAAGATCCTTTACAAAGCCTGAGTTACTGATCAAAGTCCTCCAGCGACAGAGAAAGGTCTTCACCACCCTCTTTACAACTTCAATTCTGAAACAACTCACGTATTACTAAAACACGAAAGCAGTATATGCTTCCATGAAGAGATTCAATTTATTTGTGGTGTGTCTCACTCTTAATACTCTTAAGAGATGTCACTTCATAGACACATTTTGAAAATATCAATGTTCTGGAGCTTGATGTTGGCAGATGTTAGCTATTAGACATGCACTCAGGGTGCCTGATAATTCTCCAGTTGGGTATTTGCCAATCTATGAAGACAGGAATTCCAGCCATTTCTTACAAAAGGCAGGACCCATTCATTGAATTAAGTGAGACTATGGTCAGGTAATGTCACATGGTACTCTGCTCGTATAAACTGAGACACTCTGCATGGTCATGAGAGGTAATAAAAAGATTTCTAAGGGTGACCTCTTAAGATACAAAATTAGCTTTTAAATTCCTTGAAGATTTTGTGAGCATAGGTGCTATCGCTGTCATTATAAACCTTAGATTCTACAGAATGACGACTGGTAGCTTAATTTTAACCTTAGTATACTTTAATCTCTTTAAACATCTTTCAGAGTCACAGGCCACTTCTTCCAGCTGCCTAACTAGCAAGTCCTCAGGGATGTGTGTGTGTATGTGTGTCCTCATTAAGTCAAATAATTAGATACCTAAATCTGCTATAAAAATTAAGCATTTCAAGAAGAATTAAAAAGAGCTTTTACTTTTGGATAGTTGAGGGTTGTATCTTATGCTAAACAGAAAATAGAGAAATCAGTTTGAGGGAAAAGTCCATTTCTAAGTCAAATTATTCTTAAGTATTATTGAGCATGTTCCACATTCTAAGTCTCCTTCCATTAATGTACATAACTGTATTATCTGGACCCATTAACATGCTTCCCTGTACTCTATTTGAGTTGCTCATGTGTCTGAAGGAAAAGGTTAAAATACATCAAGTTAAACAAAAAAAAAATAATTGGCATGAAACAGAATTGTAACCTAAAAGCCCAAATGAATACCTCTGCTTAAAATACTGCCCAGAAATGGGCACTGGTTAAAAGAAAATGTTCCTCTTAGGTCTTATTCCATCTTTTTAAAAAAAAGTAACAGAATAGGATTTCACCAAATATTCAACTCGAGAACAGAGTGAAAGCAGATCTCTTCTGGGACTTCCTCTGTGCAAACCACACTGATATTGAACAGATTCAACCCTGGGTAAACCAGGAATCACAGGAGACTATGGAGGAGAAATTCAGGGACTTATTGGGGAAGGTGCACAGAAAAACCCTAGTTTAAAAAAATCTCTTCATTGTTTGGGGCCAGCATTGCTCTCCGTAACATGCTTTCTGTATTCTCACCAAGGTCTGCCTGCTGCCACCAAGAGACAGCGGTGACATGTGTGGCCATCTGGGACATGCCTGACTTCCTACCACTTGGAGCTGGACAACATTCGATGCCAACCACCCCCACTGCACACAGCCCTCTAAGGACTCAAAATACACTATTCACGCTGTAAATAATTTTAGCTGTGCCTCTCTCTCCAATGCTGCTCCTGGGAAAGAGGAAAGTGAGCTGCAAAGAGAAATAGCAACCATATATAGGCACGAGGCATCCATGGGGCTGAGGGTCCTAATTATTCCTCCAAATGGGCTGCTTAAGGTGAAGAGCCTCAGACCCAAGATCTGCCAAGATCTTTGAAATATGTCCAGAAATGCATTTTATGTTAAGTTGGGTTTTTGTTTTTTTTAAAAGAAAAATAACCAGCAACATTAATAAAAGAAGTGGTGTGGTTTTTCTGTGAACAGGCTTTTTAAGGAATTTGGATATATCGCAGTTATAATGCTATGGACAGTGATCAAGTCCCAGGAATAGGGATGTCCCAGGCTTCGAACCTGACATTAGAAAGTGGAAAGGAGGCTTAGACCAGGACTTGTCTAGGCAACACAGGTACTAACTCTCCCATGTAGACTTCTCATCCTGGTCTTGACCTTCATAAAATGTTTTCTTGAGATTACTTGTGACTTTTCCCTTCTCTGAAGGGAAGCTATAGCAGAGGTGGAAACAAAAATCATAGAAAATGTGTTTATAAGATGTCCATGTCCCCACAGCCAGTTAATAAGTAATTAGCCTCTTGGTTAATGAGGAGGTAAAAAGTAGGGAGATTTCAATGTTCAGATACATGTAAGCATAGTCAACATGTGGTACTTAATAGTGATGGCAGAATGATATAAAAAAATCCCATTTCTTAAAAGGTTTGAGTCCTATGTAGAAGTAAAATTTCACATGTGAATTTCTGGGTGTTTGCCAATCTCTAACTAGGTTTCCAGGAATAAGGTGTTCATGTTGATTATCAGGCAATGCTTCCTTTCCCTGGGCTTTGTGTGTGATAAGTCATCGGAATTTGACCCCAAGACTATCTGCAAATGACAAAGTACTTTATCACATCCCTGCTGAGTCCTAGAATTTCACTTACAGCCAGTCCTCAGAGAGACAAAGCTTTGTTAAAAGAATCAAGGTTCAGACTCAAGGAAAAAAATTCACCCTAACCCCTTTCAATGTAGAAGTCTATAAAACCAATGTTTTGACCCATGTTAAGATTTGCATAGCTAGCAAAATACTTTGATTCTACATTTCTTATCACCCCATTCTCATTTTCAGTTTTGTATATTTAGACATTGTTTCCCTTCTTTTTTTCCCCCTTAAATTTTACTATCTGTATGTGAACAGAAGCAAAGTATCAAGAAAAGCATCAGTCTAAAAGTTTGAGAATGAACTTGCTCCTCCCCTACCCCACCCTGACAACACGGAGAACTTGTCTGTTCCAGAAATACAAAAGAAATGAAATACTTTTTGCAACTGCTGTCTCATATCAGGCTGCAATGTATCAAGAACACAAGTCTAAAGTACAAAGTTTATATTTAAGTGCTCCTGCTAGTGTCTCAATAAGCCCATTCTAAAATCCAGTTTACACTTGGGAAAACAGCAAGTCCTGTGAAGACCCAGAATTCACTCTAGAGGGGAAATCAATAGGTCTTGCTGTTTAACTTGTAACACCTCAAAGGGGGGTGGGGGACTGGGGCGAGAAAACCCCACCAGTTTTCCCAATATCTCTGACACTGAAGCACTGGCTAAATGAACCTTTTTTCCCCACCACAAAAACAAGAATAAACGAAGTGCTGCTCTTCTAGCTTAGGAAGAAAAGGAGACTAATATTTACTGTTCTTGATCTCAGTGGGTTATACCTCAGAATCCTCTGGGGCTTAAAAACACAAAGAAAACTGGTCATCCTCCCTAATCCCCCAACTACCAAAATAGGATTTTGGGGGAGAAGTGGGTCTTTTATTTATTTATTTTTTTTTAAGAAGATTCATATGGATTTTGTTGCCAACTGAGATATTACTCTGCACTAAGCACTGTCAGGCATTTAACATACACCGTTTCATGTCTCATGATTCAGACAGGTTCAATCAAGAAACTACATAGCAGACAGAAGAGGGCACAATGAAGACGTTCTGAAAACCTGTCTTTCCATTATGTTGAAACTTCCTGTCCATTCTTTCTTATTTCTCACCTTGCTGCTCTTCCCACCGGACGCCCTCTCTGACTTTTCCAAATTAAGTTACAAGTGAATCCTCCATGATCCAAATCCGGAACAACACAAACGTGTACAGAGCCTCAGTGGAGCCCATGACATTGATTTTCCTTAATAATGTAAAAACCCATTTTTGTAATTTAAACAAACAAAAAACCCCTCAAAATTCTCTCCTAGGATGAATCTGATGACGTAAGGATAATACAAATTAAATGCACAAGCTACAAGAGATGCAAAATTAAATATGTTCATCATTCCTAAAGTTTCTCTTCAACAGCAGAGAAGTAGAATCAATGCTGCCACCTAGTGGCAAGCCAAACAAATCAGGTAGCATCCTGGAGCAAAACGGGTCATAGGCAGACCATCTGGTTTCCCGCCTACCATCAGGCCATCTATTATCACCTACCTTCCTGCAAAAAAAAAAAAAAATCACATCCACATTTCCCAAGCAACCCCTCGTCCACAGTTCCAGTCCAATCAGGAATACAGCCTGGCCTGTGACACAGACTACTTCCCATGAAACTCCTCTGACAATTTTAAGGTCAGTTTGCCCAGTCCTATGGCCCACTAAGGATGACACAGGAAAACACGGACACATCCAAATGTTCATCTGTTCAGAGTGTATATACAGTAATTCTAATGTCTGTTGCCTCAAACACCTCCTCAATCATTGCAGACACATTTTCCCATTGCAGACGATCAAGACCACAGCCAATCCTGAAAAAGACAAAACATCTCCATTGGTTGTGATGAAGGTATCTAGAAAATCACTCCTTCCCTCTTCCTTTAGGCCACATTCACCCAGACCATTAGAACAGATGATCTGGTCTCACACCCATAGGCAGCCATGGTGGGAGTCTGGAAGTTAATTCCTATTGTGAGTCACTCAAGACTATTCCTAGACAGCCCTAACATCCCATAACTGTCACTTCTCTTTTGCCTAATAAGGTTACCACTTCCCAATTATTTCAAGCTACGTTTAGAAATGTGTAATTCTGCCGTGACACAAGAGACTCACTATCCTTCTATGTCTACTGATGACAACTAGCTGTGGGTGGATGGGAAAAGGCTGGAATTTTAAAAATGCACTTTTAACAATGGGAAGTTAAGATAAAAAGAAGACAAAGGATAGGATCTCTGCAAAAAAGAAGTCAAGATGGTATCCTGAGAAATGCCAAGCTGACTGCAATTCAGGTCTTTACAACACCCTGGTAAGAAATCTCAGTCAGCCCACAAACTCTACTACCTAGCACCATTCTTCTAAGATATTACTTTATTGATCCCCAACATTCCTAAGGGGAAAAAGGAGGGGCTTAAAATTGCTAATTTCATATAATGTAATGATGAAGTCCCTGAAAAAAAATTGTGATAAAAAGTTTAAGCATAATCCATAAATATATTAAAGACCAGTATAAGACGAGTAACCCTATAGCCATATAAGTTCACTTGGAGCTTGGAATAAACCTGCATGGATGGTCAGCACTAAGTCAAAACTAGACTGACAAAAGAAGTGACCCGAAGCCTATTTCCTGAAAAGGAAGCAAAGGGGATACGGAACTGTCAACGTCATCCCTTAAGTTTCCAACAGGAAGGGTCTAAGACGTTAGATCCGGGACCTATCCTCTGGCTACTGCCATTGGTGACCACGAACAAGCATGCAGCTTAAAAGGTAGTGATTTACAACTTTCTTTACACAGTATTAGTAGGTTTGGGACACTTGAAGTGGCCCAGAAGGAAATCACAATTGCTTGGTCTTGGTTCTTAACCTTATATTGCTTCAGGAATAGAGGCCAAGCTTCAGGCAGATGCTAGGAATTTAACAAATGTGACTGAACAACGGTTCCTCCTTACTACACAGGCTGAGGCAGGTGTGTGTTTTAAGTTACTTAGCTTGATTCGTTCAGCCTAGGCTAAGAAATGGGTATGCCTTGGCTGACAACTGATTCACTGGTGATTTTTTCAAATTTTAAAATTGTCCACCTTTAAATCTGGATTTTGGATTAAGCTTTTAAGTCATTTGTCTTTGGATAAGACAGTAACCCCCACCAATCAATCAAGTCTTTACTTAGAGCCCTGGATTTCCTTACCTGGGCATGGAGAGGTCGGTGACTCCATTCTTCAGACAATGGGACTTCATGGCCTCTAAACTTTTCTGCAAATTTTCATAAGTTGGCTTGTGTGAAGCCCTTTTCTTTGTAATCTGAGCACAAAGAAAGAGTTCAAACTTCTATTAGTCCAAAATGATAGGAAAAGAAAAGCCATCACATTCTCCCAACATCCTGATAATTAACTGCCTTTTTATAGAACAGTCTAGAGCAGGAATGAAAAATGTCATACTGTCCTTTCCAGTTATGGGAGGCCCTGGAATATCAACTAACTAGGGCTTGAGAAACCCAGACATTATCATGTAATAATCTTTCCTTTTCTCAAGAAGCCCAGGTTAACAGGCTGTGCCTATTGTCTATTGTTTTTAAGCAAGATAGGTGAAAGTCTTTGTGCCACTTCCAAGAGATAAGCTGAAATCTCTAACAAGGAAAAACCCACATGACCTGAAAATTTCCTGTTACGTCTATTATTTAGAAACCATGCTTGCTTGCTTGCTTTTTCTCTATGAAAGAGCAGAGAGAAACTGGTAGCATCCCAAATAACTTTGGAAGTAACATCAGCCTTAAAGACAGCATTCAAAGGGGCCAAGACGTGAACCCACTCAGTTTGCTGTTTAAATCAAGCTTATAGTGGGTTGCCTATAAGTCACCCAGCACCATCACCAAGAAACCACACTCTTTCTGGGGCCAAAAACCATTTGGACAGTGGAAGAATCTCACATTGAGGCAGCAGGAAGGAAAGGAGCTGAGCACATTTGATAGGCAAGAACGAGAGGAAAAATTCCTTTGAGCAAAGTGTCTCTCATTTCTGTCTCACTATGACTAGCAAGGAATTAAAGTATGGGTGGCAACCCTAACTTCTGCAAATTGGCGGCATCCCTAATTTTGCAAATCTTAGAACACAGACCTTTGGTTGATGTCACAATACTCTTTCCCATGGAGCTAGGATGCAGCTTCACATTCCTTTCTAACCCAGAGCTCCAAATAGCCACCACCACTAGATCTGAGCTGGCATGAGATCAGAGGCTTTTTAATGTCTTTGCCTGTCTAGAATGATCAACACAAACCCCGCACAGCCCACCTGGTCACCAATCCTTAGAGCTCGGAGAATTAGCCCTGTCTTACCAAGTAATATATATATCGCCCATCTCTCTTCAGAACAGCCACTTCTCCAGATTTCTTTTCTAAGAAAAAGTTATTTAATAGAAAAGAAAAAGAAAATCAAAACACTGATCTCCATTCTTAGATTTTAAAAAATCTTTACAGATCTGAGTTAACCTCAGAACTAATTTTCAACTCTAAAGAAACCTAGTCCCCTATGAACACTTTGCTTATCAGCCTTCCTAAATACTATATTCCTTAAATTCCAGCTTCCTTAATCATGTTTTCTCAATCATGTTTCCCTCACACCCTATCTTTTGTCCTGCCCTTATTTTCAAATACACCCTTACTTGTTCACTTAAAAAACTTTAATGTGTATTGCCTTGAAATATTTTAGAATGTACATTTATTTGCCAAATGTGTGTTCATTCAATAATGATCTTTTTATATACAAAGAGTTAATGTTTAAGCATTATGGAGAACACAAGTGTATAAAAAGTTTCCTAATTATTATGAGTTTTCAATCAAGAGAAGGTGTCATGTATACAAATAACTACCATACAAAGCAATAAGAAATTGCTTTTTTTTTAAAAAAGCTGAGCCACCCTGCCACCTGTTGGCAGCTCAGCAGCTGCTCAGCTTGGGCCGGGACTTGAACCGCTGTTGCTCAGAGCTCAAACTCTTGAGCGAGCTCTTAACCAACTGAGCCACTCAGCTGGCCCAGAAATTGCTTTTTAAAAGGCTGACATCAGCATCGCCAGTGGGGGCCTTGACTATGCCTGGACTGTGGTCTGAGCAACTGTTTCAGAAACTCCACATGATTCTAATACACATCTCTGGTCTAAAATCACTGGTAGAAAGTGATGGGAGGGGGTCTGTAAGGAAGAGGAGGATTCTAAATTCCTAAATACGATATAGGTGAACAGAGGAGTTTGAATGCCAAGCTAATACCTGTAGACTTTGCTAAGCACTTCAGAGTTATTAAGGTTTTCAGAGATGTGGAGTATTATCAAGAGAGTTTTATGACAGAGAAGGAAGAGATCAAAACTTTTACAAGAATTCAGGTTTGGTGTGATAAGTACCCAAACTGGAGGCCATTTTAATGGAGGAAAAACTTAATCTGATGAGCTAAAAGTACTCAGTGGTTATGAACTCTCTCTTTGCATATATTTCTTGTTTAATAATTACAGTATAACAAAGTCAAAAGATGTTCTAGCCAGGGCAAGTTAAACTGTTTTCAAAACTCACGTTGATTCATCAATTCCTGCACCCCTCCAAATTTCTTCTTGAAGAGTACAGCTATCCCAGCCCCCATTCGACAATCCTCACTGATACAGTGAGCAAGAGAATCTGTTTTGGGGCATGCAAAAAGGTCTCCTTTCACATAAGTGATCTAAAACGGGCACAGGGAAATAAAATGTCTTATTAGATACAGAAAAATACTAGACTCTTTCATTTTCCTTTACTGTATCCGCCACCCCTCCCCTCTTTCATTGAAAGCCAAATCCTCAGAATTTAAGAGATAAACTACAAAGAATTAAAGTGATAGATGGTCTCTGCCTAGGCTGCATTAGCCTTCTGAAGTAAACCAGCTAGAGGGAAAAGAAGACAATTATTGGTTTAATTAAAAAGTGTTTATGCTTTTGACCTCAATTATTCTGAATTTCACTTCACCAGTAAGTTAATAGTTGTTACGCACTCTGCTTCCTTCTGGATCTTCATTAGGGCTGCCGGCCATGATACTGAGTCGCTATCTCCAGAATTTAAATGTTTCTTCAGCTATGAGAAAGGAAAAGGAAGTACAAATGCTTAAGCAGCCTGATTATATCTAGATCGTCTTGACCACCCACTTATTATTCCCCCAACGTTTATCGCTGAATGTCAGTTCGTTCAGCCTCTAAGAAGTAATAAAAAAAATTGTTCTGGGGCAAGGAAGAGGAAAAATGCCTGGGTTCGGAGGCAGCCGTAACCCCGCCAGCATTTCGCGCTTTCCTGGAGCGCCACGCCCCGCCCGAGAAGAAAAGGAGGCCCTAAGACACGCCTCCTCCTCTCCCCGCGCCCGGGCCGGGCAGATTTAGGACAGTCTCCTTCAACTCAGTGGGTTTCGCCTAGAAAAGGGAGGGACTTGGGGCTGTAACTAGGGAATGTACGGACCAGGGGGGAGTGTACTGCCGGGCCGCAGGCAAGAGAGGAAAGGTGGCCTCTCAAGAAAGGCTCACCCCCTTTTTTGGGGGTAGGGGGAAGAAGTCTACAGAAGCCTCCCATTCTCTTGTCTCCTACCCTACGGCGGGTCAGCGAGGGGTAGGCCTGTCCTGGGGTCCCGTGGGAAGGAGCGGGGGGCTCGCTCAAAGCGAGGGTTACCCTTCACCTGGAGTCGGCGTTAGGAGGTCCCGCCCCGCAGGGAAGGGCCCTAGATCCGGCCCTGGTAGGTGGGGAGCAGCGGACGAGACCAGACGCGGAGCCAATCCCGCCACAGCCCTTTAATTGCACGCACCTAAGATGGCCGCCTACTACGCGGGAGCGATGTGGAAACGAGCCCCTCTAGCTACCTATCCGAACCTGCACTCTTTGGTTATGGCCGCCGAACTTCCGGCGGTAAATTCCGCGGAGTCTCCCGCCGCCACCCGGGCATGCGTAACGAGACAGCCGACCGCGAGCGGGGAAGAACGGCGCTTGCGCATTAGCCCCAGGGGTGTGTCTCCAGTGGCCGCAAAGAAAAAGGATGGAAATTGCCAAAGGAGCTAGTTAGCGCCTGCGTAGTATTACGTTCAGGGCGGTGTTCGAGTCGTAGGGTCTGTGCGTCCACAGGGCGCCTGCGTATTCCTTCGGTCGGTAGTGGTACCGAATCAGGGAGGTGGGCGTGGTTTAAGGGGACGCCTGCGCAGTGCTCTTTTAACGGGAATGGGGCGAGTCCGGAACGGGGGATTAGGGGGCGTGGTCTCAGAGGCGCCTGCGCGGAGGCGGTTGGAGGGAGGCCCGATTCCCCTTTGTTCGGGTTCGCCATTTTGCGAGGCAGCGGCAGTGGCGGCGGCAGCGGCGGCTGGAGCCTCTGATTGGGTTTCGGAGTCCGGTACTGGAGCCAATCAGCGCGGGCAGCGAACCGGGGGAGCGAGGCACGGTGAGTGTGAGGAGCCAATATCCAGCGGCCCAGAGCCGGCCCCAGCGCCCCGATTGGCGGGTCTCGCTGACCACTCAGGAGAGGCCCAGGCGCCCGTCGAGCCTGGGGAGTCGAGCTGAGCCTAGCCGAATGGGGCGGCTGGCGGCCCCGACTGGGAGCCTGCGAGCGCCGCAGGGCACTCCCGGCCGAGGCCTGCAGGGGCCGCCCCGCGCGGAGATGGCGCCCCCGGGGACAGGCACCTCGGGGTCCAAACACGCGCAGGGTGCCAGTGCCAGTTGGGGATGCGTCCCGGTTCCCCCAACCCTTAGGCCCAGGTTCTCAGGCCCCAGGCTTGGGAGTGGCGGGCTTGCCTGCCACAAATGCTCCTACGCTCGGGTACACACACGCCTACGCCTCGGCTGTTTTCTCCTGGTGGTTCCGACCTCACACTTAGCCCGCCCTTGCACTCCCCGCTCCGGCCGGGAAACCTACCCCCGCGGGGCCCGCGTCCCCCAGCCCTCCGTGAGCTGGGTCTCTCTGCCTGCCCTCCGGGGTCCGCAGGGAAGTCTGAGGAAGACACGCGCCATGATCACAGGCCCCCGCGTGCGGCGGGGAGGGGGGGGGGCCAGCCCGCCCCTGCCGTCTCCCTGGACGGGATGGCGGGGAGTCGGTGTGCCCGCTTCCCCTACTCCGCTGCGCCCCTCCCAGCCCGCTCGGCCCGGGTCTTCGGCCCGGCGCCGTTACCACCCCCTTTTTGGCTCGTCATTTCCTCTCCTCCCCACTCGGCTTGCCAGGCCCGAACCGCACACCTCTGTCTTGGAGCCCAACCAAGCCGTCTCCCTTTCTTCCCCGGGCGCTAAGGCCCGTCCGTTCGGTGCCTGGAACCTCACTTCTAGAAAAGGGCTAGTCCCGTTCATTCTTTTTCCCGGAGGCTGCACAGCTTGCTTTTCATTTTGTTAGTCTCGTCCATCGCTCATCTTGTGAACTCTTCTTCCCCTGAGGATGTACAATTCGTTTTTCTTTCACCTTTCTGTGTCACTTTGAACATGTCAGGCGACTGAATTTGTTCGGTCAACAGCTATTTCTCGCTCTTTTTTTTTTTTTTTAATAATATACTTTCTAATTCCATGTTGACGTTTTCTCGGCAGATGATGTGGGGGGTTTTGCTAGGATTAGAAGACATATCTGTTGACAACCAAATATGGAGCAGGCAATATGTACTAGGCATAAATCCATGTGTTGGAGAGGGAGCGGGGAGAGGTAAATAAGAACCTTCCCTGCCTGGTGGAGATTGACAGGTGAACCGCTAAGTAATACCTAACGTCAGTGCTATAACGGGACCAAGTTCAGTTCTGTGAAGTGCAGTACTGATGTGTGAGCTACCAACAGCCTCGGTGGAAGCCTTAACGTAGCCACACTTTTGATTGGCCTCCAAGAGGATGGGATTTCTTCTGCCAGGAAAGAGCACAAGAGCATGGCTCACAGAGAGAAGAGCATGGTGAGCTGAGGCACCAAATTCTTCTGTGTGCTGAGGAAATAGATGGGAAAGGACAGTGGGCAGTAGTGGTGACAGTTTAGGCTGGACAACCCAGTTGGTAAAAGCACTTGTATATCTTGGTAAGGAATATTTCCTAAGATTGGAAAAACAAATTTCTGACTTGTGGGATTCTGCCCCATAACACTTGGCTGGCTTCTGTTGGGGAACAAAGGGAAATTTCTTCTCTCCGACTTGAATAGTTTTTATTTATGTGAAGCACCTAGTGCAATCCCTAGCACATAAATTAGGTCTTCAGTATATGGTGCCGGTTTTTATCATCACATTTACTAAGCTCATACAACTGGTAGGGTTCAGAAAACTCCTAGTGCAGTGCTCTTTTACTACTAGAACTTGGGAGACAGTTTTTGTTTTCACTTTTTAGGGTGAGTTTTTCATTGTTTAAATCACTTTTAAAAATTCATTTAATTCTTATGATGAGGCAATGTGTCTTAGATATTATTCAAAACACTTATGTATCTTGTGACTTTAAAACAATCAAACTTTTTTGCTGAGCATCTCTAGAGCCTCCGCCTGTCTGCAAAAGAACTTCTTTGCCTGGAATTTTGAGAGACAGTAGTCTGGCCTCTTTCACTTGACAAATGGGGCTTTTTAATCTTGTTTTTATGCTGGCTCTTCATTTGGAGTACTCCACCCCTTCCCACATCATCACATATGAATCCTCCTCACACTTAAGACCAGGTCAGATGCGACATTTTCCTACAGCCTTCCTTGATTTATCTATCCCCAGCTGCAAGAAATCTATCCACTAGACTCCCATATTACTTTGTTTCTCTTGGGGTTCCAGTATAGATTTTCACTCCATGACTAGACTTGAAGACTCTTTTTGAAGTTAGGATGTTTGTCGGAGTTTCCTTTTTATTTCTGAAGCCTTTAAGACAGTGTCTGGGATATGTACATCATTAGTGGGAGAAGGAGCAAATTAGGAACTCTAATCCAGAGACTTCTTGGACAATGAGGAAGCAGGACAGCTCTTAGTTCTCCAGTCTTTTATCAGACAAAGATCCAGACCCATTTGCCGAGTTGTAAAATCAATTTAGTGGGCTAATGCTGATAACTTCTTATAATAAAATAAAGCGTATTAGTGTATATCTTACGTTATAAAGTATGAACGTGACACTTTCGTTTCAGTTTTTAAATATGTGGGCAGTGATTTAGGATACAAAGTGTGTTTCTTACTGTGAATTGTGGTCAAAGAAGTTTGAAAGCTATAATTCTAGGCTTTCCCTGGTAGTGATTGTCAAATATGGTGATTTTGAGGGGCTTTTCACATGCTTATAGTTTTTCTGGAAGTTTTAGTTTTAAAATGTGCACAAGTCCACATTGAATGGGTTCCTAGTAGTTAGCTGCATTTCAGGTTCTGCACCTTGAAGTGGGAGGATGAGAATATTCATGCTAGCCAGAATAAACACACATACTCTGAGGAAAAAAACATTCAAAACTTTGAGTTAAAAGCAAGAGCTAGACAGTTTAAATCTGGCTGACTTAATGTTGTCGTCAGAATCTTGGACAGAGAAGCACTTGAGGAAGGACAATGTCAGATTTTATTGCAGTTCTGCTAACTGAAGCTCACAGTGATAGGAATATATATGGCTTCACTGAAGCCAGTTCATAGGGTTACAGCCTTCAACATCAGCAATCTCAATATCATGCTCCATGCTGAATCACTTCCACGTTAATGTGAGAGAGAATTGCTATTAAATTAGAAGCTGCTTCCTTTTTTTACCCTTCCAAGTGGATTTATATGTTTTTACATTGCAACATTTTTGTTATGGGATAAACCAGTTAAGAAAACCTGCATGACATATTTATTAGTAATTCCCATGCTCTGAGTAGGATGTAAATGTCTGGAAATTAGTGGTCAAGGAAAGAATCTCATGCAGAAGGGGATTTGAGGTGGGGGAGGTGTTGAAATTGTAGAGGACATTCTTTCATGATCCTTACTTTCAGCTTTATTGAGATATAGTTTAGACAGAGAAATCATTTTAGGTTTATATTTTGATGAGTTTTGACAAATTTATACACCTATGCAACCACCACCACAATGAAGATATTAAACATTTTCATCACCCTAGAAAGTTCAAGTGCTCTATCCCAATCAACCTCCCACTTTTCCCTCCCTCACTCCACCCCTCTTCTCCAGCCCCAGGAAACCACTGATCTGCTTTCTGTCTCTAGATTACTTTTGTCTTTTCAAGGTTTCATATAAATGAAATCACAGGTGTTCTTTTGTATCATCATGACAATTTAATTTTATTAGTTTAGAAACATAAATGTATTATGTGTACTGCAGTTAGAGACAAGATAGAGAGTTTAGGAAAAACTGTTCCCTTCCCTGACAGAGTCACTTAGTCTGACTGAAAACCTGATTAAAATTTTCTGTACTGTTCCAGAATTTCTTTGGAGTTGACTCAGTCAACCAATTCAGAAGAGACTGGTATAAAAATCAGAAAGCCAGTTTGTCAGTATGCAATGAAAAATAACTATCAAGTTTACTTGTGTTGCTGATCTATATGCAAATCCAAATTATAACTAGATATTTGCTTGGTGAACTTTTAATTAGTGTGAGGGTAGTGAGTTGGAGAACCATATGACCTGATGCATGATGCTGTGATGGCATAGTCATCCTGTCACTTATGGCTCTTATAGTCCTGCACTACATACCATTTTGGTTATGAGTGATGGGCTTGATTAACTTTTGTTTAATTTTACTTCCAAGATTTTAATATAAAATTTTCAAACATACAGTAAAGTTGAAAGAATTTTACAATAAACACCTGTGTACCGACCACCTAGAGTCTACCATTAACATTGTACCATACTTGCCTTATCAGATATTATCCATCTTTCTACCCATTCATCCATCAGTCTATCTTATTTTTTGACGTATTTCAAAGTAAATTTTAGATATGAATACACCTCCTCCTAAATACTTGGGCATGCATTTGAATATAGTATTTTGATTTCCTTTTTCACACAATACTGAGATACTTTACAAGTGATTAATTTCATCCACCGTGTGTAAATATTTATGGAGAGTGGTGCCTTGCATTGCTGCTGTAATGTGCAAGCTTAGTTAGCTCAAATGATTTTATCATTAAAATTTTAGAATTTATGAAGGCCTTGAGAAAAATTGAGGGAAGAGATTTACCTATATTTTGTTTATATATATACACCTGTACTTCTCCCTTAATTCCAAGGTGAATTACCCTTAAATTTTTGAATCAGATGTTTGTTCAAGGTTCTCAAATGTCACTTCATTTTAACTAATTGTGTCCTTATTTCACAAAGCAGCCTTCAACTGTAAAAGTGTATGAGGATGGTAAATTTGGACATTGGCTGGATATTTGATGATGTTAAGGACTTAATAATTTTTTTAAAGTTTGAAATGATATTGTAAGAGACAGTATCATCATGATAAAATGATGAAGCCAAAAGAGTCTTTACTCTTTAGGTATAGATGCTGAAGTATTTATGGATTTGGGGAATAATATGGTGCCTGGGATTTGCTTCAAAATAATCCAGGGGTGGGTGGAAAGTGGATGAGATATGTGAAACAATATTGACTGTGGGATGAGAATTGTTGAAGTTGGGTGATGTCTATGGGGGTTCCTTTTAATGTTCTTGCTACTTTTGTATATATTTGAAAATTGCCATAATAAAATTATACAATAAAGGATGGCATATTTATAGGCATTCAAATCTAAGTCTGGGGAAAACTTAAGTTCTATTTAGAGAAAATCATAGCCTTAGTATGTCATTTAAAATTTTTTTCTTTAATCTATAACTAATTTTTGGCATTAGTGTAATTCCTTATTTCTTGCTCTGGATTAAAATGCAAACTCCTAAATCCTCCCTAGAGCTTTCTTACTTAGTACTACTAAATGGAGATTTTGATAAGTAAAGTGTTTGATTTCAGCTTTGGATAATTTACTTACTAAATAATAAACTCTGAAATTTAAAGTTGTTTACTGTATGTGGTAGACTAGAGTTTGGCAGGCAACAAATGTGTGTTACAAATTTAAAAAACTGTTTATTGTCTAAAGTACATGTGCAGACTTGAAAATCAGTACTAAAGAAGCCTTGTAATGAAGCAATATTGTAGCTTAATGAGTACTTCTGAGGTGCAAGTGTTGCTCTGGTAGTATTGACAGATAAGGTTGCCAATATGAAATGACTGAAACCATTTTTAAAACATGTGAAATAACATTATGATGTTGTCATGATTGTGCTATGTAATCCTAGTTAAAAGTGATACTGAATATAAGCATTTCCTATTATCCTGATTTCTTGCAAATAAAATAATAGTAATAAGTTATTGAGGTTAATTATCTGGTGAGGCCTTTCTTGACAATCTTACTCTTGTTTCTTTCCCAGCGTTTCTAATAGGAGTGCATCTTGCATTCTTCTAGGGATCTCTGGAGTGAAACTCACCGTGTACAGGATTTGAACGTGGAGGGACCATGGAGCAGTATACAGCGAACAGCAATAGTTCAACAGAGCAGATCGTTGTACAGGCTGGACAGATTCAGCAGCAGGTGTGGAAGTAAAACTTTTAAACACAGCAGTGGAGCTGATAATAGCACTACTCAGTTGGGGAATTATTTGAGAGGTGCCAGGTCTTATAAAAATGGTTTTGATGACTGGTGCTGAAGTGCTCTTTGAAGATTGAAATTGTTGCAGTCTCTCTTCTGTTCTCTGTGTTCAGAACTTTATATCCAGTCCATGACCACTTAGAATTTACTCTTCATGGGAGCCTGGTTACTAGTAAATTACCCCTTTTATCTTATTAAAAGTCAAAACACCTAATCTGTTTTCAGATGGAAATTTGGAATTTTTATTTTTTCTGGACTCAATTTGATTGTTCTTGATTAAGCTAGTTTGTGATCTAGTAAGACTTTGGCCACAATACACAAACCAAAATACTCAGCTTCTAAGAAATCCGCTTTTCTTTGATTTGATCCACCACAGTGCTTATTCTGAAAACTTCTGGTTTACCATGACGGTAATATTAAGACAGCCACTCTTCTGGATAAGCACATATTAGAAAAGAATTCCTTGCGCCTGGTTTATTCCTAATTAAATTGGTTGCTTTCTTGAATTTATACACAGCTTTTATTTTCTGATGCTTTATATCTGGCTTTATTTTAGTGAAACTTCACTTGTTTTTCTCCCTAGAAGAAGTTTATTATGCATCAATTTGACCTTAGGCCAAGATTGGGAATATTTTCTTTCCAAAGTGGAATTTAGATACTTTAGAAAAGCTGTTAGTAGGGAGGGCATAGGAGGTTTTGATGGTGAGTTGTCTTATCTAATGATCAAAGGAAGGAGCTACTCTTGATTAAGAGAGTAATTATTTAAACTCCTTTGCTGGCTTTTTCTTCCATACAGCTGCTGTGCCTCTGGCAGCTTCCTTCACCTGCCTTCTTAGTAAAGGGGATTCCACAGAGGGCCCTCCATTAACACCACTGCCCTGGTGGGTGAATTATTGTTCTGTCCGAGCTTGCCATTAGAAGATATAAAAATTAGGTTGAGTCATTGAAAATATTGCTCATACGGTAGTCCAATTGAGTAAAATTAATCTTAGTTTTAGTACATAAGAGCATTGACCTCATGAAAATGATTCTGGTTCACAGCGATTGCTTTGTTCTTCCTTTCTGGTAATTGCATTTAAGCCCCAAAATTCTTCATTGTAGCTTCAAGGCTGTTAAAATCTTTGTTCTTATGAACTCATTTGAAGAAATAAAAGGAACATTAAAATAACTTTTAGGCATAAGGACCAAATGCCTATTTCTGGAGGGAAGGACTGTGTTAAAAGTTTTCCTGTTAATCATGACAACTCTTGCTGTTTTGTCATGGGAGTATGTTTTGAGTTCCATTTTGGAGACAAAGGGCTGATAATCTTTAATCCTGCTAACCTTCAACAAACCAACTTCAGTGTAGGGAACCTGTACAGTTTGAAAGTCCTCTGTAGGGTGGGGCTGTTGAAAGATGACTCCCTCCCTCTCCTGTAAGAGGTAAGGTAATCTCATGTCTTGAACCATACATTTCCTTCCTGACACATTTCAAGCTCTTCCTGTTCCTGTTCTCAGCAGCAGGGTGGTGTCACTGCTGTCCAGTTGCAGACTGAGGCCCAGGTGGCATCCGCCTCAGGCCAGCAAGTCCAGACCCTGCAGGTAGTGGTGCTCTCTCTGACTCTCTGTAAGCACTGCATGAACTTCGTCTTCCCTCATGTCGGGTGCTGTTTGTGGTAGGATCTCAAAGAGGAATGGCAAAGCCAGTTGCATGCCTTGGATGCTAACTTGTCTTTGAGGCTTATAACATGCTAGTTTTCTAATGTTTCATGCCAAGTCAGGTAGTGACCCCAGTGGCAATTTTCTGAAAACTGCCTTTGGCTAGCGTGTTTCTTTGGGAATGCCTTGGAAACAAATGGTATACGTGACAGGAAGAAATGCTTACAAGGGACATTAGAACCTGTGTACAGCTCAAACTCCGTAATCAGATTTCATGATAAAATTTCATGAATTTGTATTATAATAGTAGAGAAGAAAATATATGTACATTAGCTAGGCTAGATTGTGCTTTATTTTTATTAAAAGGCCAAATCAGCTGCCAAATAATCATTCTACTTGGCAAGGTTTATCTAATCACTAAATCTTGTTAATCTCTTAACCTCTGCTTTTTTACTACCTTTCCTGGGGAAATAGTGACCTGTATTATTAGATCTGCAAAACTTATCCTATACCTCTTGGCTGGACGTAGGTGGGATATGCTTTCTGTAGGTCTTAGGTGTTGTAGCCACTATAAAGATTCTTACTTAACCAATGCAGTTCCCTAACATTATGTATGGCCAAGTTAATATCCTAAATTGGGTGATATTTTGGCCAGCTTTTGTATATAATTAGGAATAGGAGCATTAGTCTTTGCTGTATCTATAGGTTTGACTAAAATGACTGTATTTGTGAAAAACTGGCAAGATTTGAGTTCCTTACCTTTTTTCCTCCATTGAATGGAAACAATTCAAAATGGGACCTAGAATGTAGAACCCGCATCTCACTTTCTTAATGGTGCTGCTAAACATCCTATAGTTAACTACCCCTTATTGTCATCATTTTACTTGACCCTTTCTGCCCCAACCCCACATCTGCCACCAGTAGTGTTTGATGATGATAAATAGCCTATTCTGAACATAAATTAGGCTGAAAAAAGCTGAGCTTGTAGTTATCCAAAACTATATTGGAATCTCAGAGTTCAACAGCTTGTAACTCATGTTTTTCGTGCTTGCTTCATCTTATTGATATAAACAGTATTGTCATTAACCACCTGTGGAATGGGAATGTAACATGCTCTTAACTGTATGGCTTCTTGTCTGATGATGCATGTATCCTTATAATCACTCATGTTATAAATACAGTGGGCTTCTTGGAGTCTCAAGTGGTTTATCATGTGCACTTACAGCACGTCAGTGAGGGGAGAAGTTAAGATGATGGTTAGCCAGAAAATTATTAATAGTTATGCCTTAAAACTTGTATTTCCTGCCTATGTAGGTTTTATTTAAAAGAAATGGAAACACTTTATGGAAATAATGGAAACTGTTCCTTAGGGGTCTCATTATTTTGGAGAATTTTAAATAGTTCTTTCAGTTATTCATGCAATAAGTATTCTGAAAAATCTTTCCTAATAGGGCATATGCAAAGGGAATTTGATTTGAAATGGGGAAGTAAGGGATCGAGAAAGCATGAGAATCAGATTATAAAGTCCTAAAAAGTAAAGTGGAATTTCTCAATGAACAGTTGAACAAAAGCTAGGATTTTGAATATATTCTGATATATTTGGGGGGTTCTTAATATCTAATCTACTCTGCTAGGACTGATCGATCTTTTAACTAAGTACTGTTTGTTGAACGTACTTTACTGGCATTAAGAATAAATATTTTAGTCGTATTACTATTCTATTACAAATAATTCCTCAAAACAAAAATAGAATCTTTAAATGAAAGTTTTGGACTTTGGGCTATTCTGTTGAATATTCAATTTCAATTTTAAAAAATGGCTTGTTTTTTGGCTTCTAGGAAGTGTTCTATTAGGTAGGCATTTTTATATTGGGACTCAAGATGTTACAGAGCACTTACAATGTCCTGGCTTCTAGAGTATTCTGTTTATTCATGGGAGCTTGAAACTTGGGAGTTTTTTGGTATACTTGAGTGCTCTGTGTAATTTTCACATTTGTCATTGCTTCTGTTAAAGTAACTGCAGGTATTGTGGGGTCCAGTGTGAGGAATTCCACCACAGATGCTGCAAGCTGACCAGAAAATATTTCTAGGCAATTTTTACTAGTCGGCTTTTTACACAACCACCAGAGTAGGTGAAGAGGGCAAAAGATGTGCACTTCATTCATGCTTGAGAAACTATGGAGAGAAAGGGTCTTTTATGTAAGATTCCTGAGCTGCTTGCTCCCCAGCCTCCTGGAGTCATTGCTGGGTACAATGTAATTTACTCCCTGCAGGTTATTTAGAATTTGCACTCAACCATTGTCACCACCATCAGGTGTCCCTCTCATTGCCTCCTCTTTGGCCCTCACTAGAGACCATTCCTGGATATTAGCCTAAAGGGGCAGATAGTCTTTACGTTTTAGTTTGATGCTTCTCATGGATTTAGCCTGTGTTTGGTGATAAGTGCCTTATAGCTGTTAAGATTTCCCAAAGACTGGATATACTCCATTATATCTGACTTTAAAGTATTCAACTTGGCCTTTAGTCAAAGACACCATAGATGTTTGAAGAAGGTAGAACTTGAGAATGAGGACTTGAGACTGACTTTCCTGGGGTCTCTCTTACCTTTTCCCCTCTGGCAAGGCAGCAAAATAGTTCCAGTGATTGTCTTTTAGTAAAAACCATTTTGTATATTATGTTATTTCATTGTTCTTCTTTTATTTTATTGTAGGTCCAGGGGCAGCCATTAATGGTACAGGTCAGCGGAGGCCAGTTAATCACATCGACTGGCCAACCCATCATGGTCCAGGCTGTCCCTGGTGGACAAGGTCAAACCATCATGCAAGTACCTGTATCTGGGACACAGGGTTTGCAACAGGTGAGTGGTATGAAAAAGTGTTTAGACAGTATCAGAATAGGTTTGTAAAGAATAGTTTATTACAAACCCTTTGACATTTGACATTGCATTTAGTTGCTCTTCCACCTTTGTACTACCAGTGATTAAGCAGAACTATACAGAAATTGTGCATCTGTGGTAAGGACTAAGGACTAATTAGGCATGATTTTGAATTGACGTGAAGAATATAAAGAGATAAGAATCTAGTTTAATAAAAGTAATTCATTGGTGTGACGTTTTTTGGCACTAAAAATGAATACAGAATAGGTATAACTATTAATGTTCCGGCTGTCCTTCATCTTAATTTCTCCCTCATTGACATGCTATAAGTATACACGAGGGAGGGAATTTGCAGTCTGCTTTGGATATTGTTGATTTTGGTCAGAAATACTGTCCTTTTCATTTCTTTCCATGTAATTTATAATTTGAGTTATCTAGCAAGTGATGGAAAACAAAAAAATTTCAGTCCATACCCATCACACACACCTAACGCTGTACTTGGAACAAAATTTATAACCTTAAAGACTTAATTTAAATAATGGTATTTCTCTTAGGATGTAAGGAAAAGAACCAAGTGAGCAAAAAGAGGTTAAAATTAATGAAGTAGAAAACTAACAAAAATGTAGCAAGGGTAAGTAAAAGCTGATTCGCTAAACAGATCAAGTAAGATAGATAAATCCACTGGAAAGACTGATTCAAAAACAAAACAAAGGTAAAAAAGACAAAGATGTAGAAGAGATTAAAAGAAATATGTAGGGGGGAACCGGTTAGCTCAGATGGTTAGAGCGTGGTGCTGATAACACCAAGGTTGCCGATTCGATCCCTACGTAGGCCACTGTGAGCTGCGTCCTCCCTAAAAGAGTCAACTACGCCATTGTAGCATGAAAGCAATGTGTAACCATGACGATGGCTGTTCCCCAATAAAATCTGAAAAAAAGAAGCATGTAGGATTGTTACATACAACTCTGGCATCAAATTTTAAAATGAGAGAGATTTTTATCAACTTGGCAAAAATTAAAAAGAATGATTATACCCAGTTCCACAGTGGATGTGGAGAAAAGGAAACACTCATTATTTTTGGTAATTTCAAATTCTAAAGTCGTTTTAGAGTGGCATGTCACTATTAAATGTATAAACCTTTGATTTGCCTGTCTTACTTTTGAGAATCTATCCTATGGGAAGAAAAGCATTGGTATATAGGGAGAAATGTACAAAAAACATTTTTTGTAGCATTGTACTAGCAAATGTTTGTAACCTGAATGTCCATTAATAAGAGTAAGGAAATGGTTGAATTTCTTTTAGTAATTCATATATGGAATGTTATATATAACAATGATCTGTTGACATGGGGAAGGTTAATACTGAAGTATTTTTAGTGAAAAATAGTTTGCAGAGAAATATATATTATGTGATCTCATCTTTGTAATTAATAGCCAAACCCATGTGGGTAATATGTGTTTATTAGAATGGAAATGGGGATGAGGGAAAACTATTGACTTTTTACTATATCTGTATATTTTGTTGTAACAGTAAGAATGATCACATTAATGTCTTAGTTTTTCTGGGGAAATTTAATATAAGTTGAAAAAAAATCATCCATGATCACCTTGCTGCTTGATAGATCACACTTTTAATTTTTGCGTATTACCTGTAGTTTTTATGCATACTTACTGGGCACAGTTGTACCATGTATGTAGTTTTCTTTTTTCTTTTTTTTGTAAAATTTATTTCCATATGATTTTCTTATTTTTAATTCCTTCATAATGGTCAGTCAATTTGATGAATCAGATTTACAATTTATAAAGTATATTTAGGGTTTTTTCTTTTGTTTTATTTTTGCTTTTGTAGGTAATGTTACTATAAATGTATTTGAGCATGATAGTTTTTGTTTGTTTAATTAATTAGGGTAATTTCTTTGGAGTAGGGGGATTGCTTTGTGAGGGGTAGGAGCATTTGTAAAGCTGGTGGCATATTTTTTGCCATGATAGAGTTGTAGTTAGGATTAAAAATAGTTTCCACATTTCTCCATGTGTGATTGTATGAGGCTTTAAACATATTTTCAGTATGTGAACTTCACTCTATTTCACACTGCTATTTCATTTCTGTCCTTCCTCTCATTGCCCCCTTTCCAGCCCCCCTTGCCTCACTGTCCTCTCCACCCTTAAATGGAGACAGTGTGATATAGTGCTAAGAATAGTACACTGGGAGTACAGTGACCTGACTTTCATTCCCAGGTCTACCATTAAACAAGCTTTCTTATCTGATCTTGGCCAAGTCATTTGATTGTGTTTTCTCATCCAAAAATGCGGTTTATATCAGGTGATTGCTACAGTGCATTCTAGCTCTAAATTCTATTGGTTTTATGGGGATTTTAGGGGGGGGGCTTAAGAGACTGACAAATTATTTTCTGTTAATGTACATAAGGTGTGTAGGTAAGATTCCATAGCCTTCTGCGGAATGTGTAAGATTTCAATTCTTTTTTATGATTTTGCTTCTCATTAGTGTTTTTTGAACAACTGTTTCTCTTAGAAGAGTACTTCTTAACCCTTTTTGGATTGCATCCTCTGATTTAGAAGTCCAGTGAAATCTATGCCCTCTTAGAAAAGGTGCAGATGTCCAGATACATGGAAAATTTTGCGTACAATTTTAGGTTAGGATCCCTGGCTTGATATTATAGACAGTGGAACTGGAGTAGTGAGCCAAGAAATAGATTCAGGAATATTGGAAGTTAGTATGTACTAGCAACATGGATGGAACTACAGGGTAAAAGAAAGACAAATACCATCTGATTTTACTTATATGTGGCATCTAAAAAACAAAGCAAAACAGAAATAAACTCATAGATACAGAGAACAAACTGATGGCTGTCAGAGGGGAGGGCAGTTGGGGAAGGGCAAGAAAGGTGAAGGGGATTGAGAGGTATAAACTTCTAATTATAAAATAAGTCATGAGGATGTAATGTACAGCTTAGGGAATACAGTGAATAATACTATGATAACTTTGGTGACAGATTATTAGATTACTAGACTTATCATGGTGATCACTTTGTAAGGTATATAAATAGCAAATCACTATGTATACCTGAAACTAATATAATATTGTATATCAACTCTAATGAAAAAAAGTGATACAGAAGAAGAAAATTGATCTCACTTTATACTATCTATAAAAATACTTGCTAAATAAAGATCTAAATTAAAAAGAAACATACTTGGAAACTTTTAGATTCTCTTTACAGAAGAATTTTCTTTATGCTCTGGAATAGAAAAGGATTTCTTTAAAGACGTTAAAAGAAAAACAAATTGATTTGACAGTAGTCCCTCCTTACTCATGAGAGGTTTGTTCCAAAATTCTTACTGGATGCCAAATATCCCAGATAGTACCAAACCAAAATGTTAATGAGAATAGATGAATAAATTATAGTATAATTATTTAATGTGATACTTTACACCGAATAAAATGAATGAGCTAGTTCTATTTCAGCTGGCTATATCTTGAAAACAATATTGATTGGAAAAAGCAAATTGCAAAAAGATACAATATGGTGCCACTTATATGAAATTTGTAAACATATAAAGCTGTACTACATATGTTTATGGATATACATGTATAAAATATGCTCTGTAAGGAGTATCACCAATTTTAGTATAGTGATTACCTTTTAGTTGGGAAGGGAATGTTAAATAAACAAAAAGGGCACAATATTAACTTGTTAAATCTTAATGGTGACTACAAGAGGGTCTAATAGTGTAGTCTCAAGTTTTCTGTATATTTAAGGATTTTGTATATACATATTTATATAATCCAGGTTAGAGTTGGAAGTTGGAAATAATTTTTTTTAACATTTTATTATAGAAAACTTCAAACAGACAAAAAAGAGAATGGTATGATAAATCCCCACACCCATCTTCAACAGTTATCAACACATAATCTGTCTTCTTTTCTCATTTTATCTGTATTCCCCTACTCTCTGAAGAACTACTTTAATATATAAAATATTACATCTGTAAAAAACACTACAGAATGTATTTTTAAATGAACACAGTTTTAAAAAACATACAACCATACCAGCACTATCATCTTTTTAAAAAATCTGATATTGATTCTTTAATATCATCCAGTATCCAGACAGTGGTCAAAATTCCCCCATTGTTTCATAAGTGGAAAACAAGTTCTCTCTCATAAATAATAGAGAGCAGAATAGGACTTGTGTGTCTTTTTTCTTCACAGCATTTTCTGCTTTCTAGAGGACTCTGGATAACTAACACTCCAGGACCAAAAGAGACCAGTGTCAACAGTGTGTTAACATTTTTCTGTGTTCTCTCCCACAGATACAGTTGGTCCCTCCAGGACAGATCCAGATCCAGGGTGGGCAGGCTGTGCAGGTGCAGGGCCAGCAGGGGCAGACCCAGCAGATAATCATCCAGCAGCCCCAGACGGCGGTCACTGCTGGCCAGACACAGGTAATTCCACGAGTTCTGTGAACACAGGAGCACAGCTGATGTGGAAGGGTCAGACAGCTGTGCCAGATACTGCACAGGTAGTAGAAATGGGGGAGAAAACCATAAAAGATATATTTTTTAAAAAGGTCTACGTGGTCCTTTCTTTTGTGGTGTCTGGAACCGGTGAAGTGATGTCATCATTTATTTCCTCCAGACGCAGCAGCAGATTGCTGTGCAGGGGCAGCAAGTGGCACAGACCGCCGAAGGGCAGACCATTGTCTACCAGCCCGTTAATGCAGACGGTACCATTCTCCAGCAAGGTAGCTGTGCCCACTCATTTCTCTGGGACTTTGGGGGACATCTTGTCATCCTTTAGCAAATGACTGCTTCAGAAATTTTGTAGTCACATCATGACATTTTCAAACAAAAAATAAGATTTCCTCTAAGTCTTCATTGATTGTTGGTTCCCTGTCACCCACACGTGACCACCATCGATTCCATTGGTAGGAGTTCCTACAGTGGTTGTTAAAAGACTGGCCCTAGGGGTTATATAAACTCTTAATCCTTTCTGAGAACAAATGTTTCTAAATAGGAATTTGGAAATGGGAGTTTCTTTGTTGGTAGAGGGAGAAACAGATCAGAAGTCAAGTTGGCATTTGGAGTTTTGTTGCTGCTTAGGGTTCTTTTTTGTTTCTCTCAGGGATACTTCATTGTTTATTCCAAAAAGACTTATTACATGCCTACTATGTAGCATTTTTCTAAGAAAAAGAGCTTTCTTCTCTAGGGAGCCTCTAGTCTAATAAGTGAGGTACACATGTGAACAAATCAATACAGTGCAGAGTCCTTATAGAGGAATGTTCCAGAAACAGATAATGCATAAAGAAGGGAGGGCCGGCCGAGTGGCGCGATGGCTAAGAACTCGCTTGGGATGCCAGAGGGCCCTGGTTCGGATCCCACATATGAGGGCCAGTGACACTGCCCTCTACAGCTAAGATGCTGAACAACAGCTCAACCTGGAGCTGGGCTGCCGTGAGTCGCTGGCGACGGCGTAGGCTGCAGTCCCTGTGGCAGTGGGTTGCCATGGGCTACCGTGTGTAGCCAGCAGCCGGCGTGAGCGGCCAGCAGCCGCAGTGAGCGGCCGTGCAGAAGCCGGCGACTGATCTGCCTCGCCCGGGAAGAGCGCAATGATGGTGCCAACTTGGGCCGGTGAAGCAGTGTCCTCCACAACTAGATTGAAGAACAAAACGACAGCAACTTGTCTGTTCCCCTTCCCCTAATTCCCCAGTACTGTTCCCAATTACCCAATAAAACTCTTTAAAAAAAAAAAAAAGAAGGGAGAGACGAAGGAGGACTTCAGAGGAGCAGATGGCTCAAACCGAATTGGAGAACTTTTGGAAGCATTTGTCAGATAGTTAAATCTAGAAGAGACATCTCAGTTAGAGTGACTAAAGGTTTGAATTGTGATTAAAACTTAGCTGTATATAAGATCTAATGAATGCAGTAACAGTATGCTCTCGTGTGACTCAGGAGGGGACCCTGGCCAGATCTTAGAGAAGGGTGAACACATCCTCAAGTGCTGCTGTTGGTAGTTTGGGGACTTGGAATGCTTGATTTAATTTTAAGTTTTAGTCCTGCAACTGGTTGACTTGTCAGTTTAGGATAAACAAATTATAAGTTTATAAAATCCCCATCCTGAAGCATATTGTTTTAATGTACAAAACAGTGGGTATAGCTATAGTCAGACTGACCCATGGGAGGGGATGCCTCCAAACTGTCTCTCAAGCCATTGAAAACTTATTGTAATGCCCAGTAGGTATCCATTTCAAGGATAGGTTCATTAAGAACTGGAACCCACCTAGTTAATAGAACTTCAAAGATAGATTACTTGGGTTTTATATAATAAACCACGCAGAGAGTGGGTGAGTGCCTTCTCCCCTTGTGTTGTTTAGTTTGTTTTTCCAGGGTGAATGAGTGTGTGCCAGATAGAAGAGGGACTAACGGTGTTCCCTTCTTTCTGTGTACGTGTTTTTTGTTTGTTTTATGTTTTATTTTCTTAAAGTTACAGTCCCTGTTTCAGGCATGATCACCATCCCAGCAGCCAGTTTGGCAGGAGCACAGATTGTTCAGACAGGAGCCAACACCAACACCACCAGCAGTGGACAAGGGACTGTCACGGTGACACTGCCAGTGGCAGGCAACGTGGTCAACTCAGGAGGGATGGTCATGGTAAGAAATGGATTCTTCAGCTCATGGCTTTCATCTGTAATTTATTTTTCTATCTCTCTGACTTTCAGAATTCTTTAACTTGCCATTTGAGGTCTCTAATAAAGGTTGTTTATAGTGTTGACCTCTTGGGATTGAGGTTGATCCTTAAAGCACTTACAGAGATCTACTTTTATAAGAAACATTACAACGAACCATAAATTCATTCTGAGTACCAGCTATGTGCCTGGCACTGTTTTTGGTGCTGGAGATGTAGCACTGGTTAGATAGATGTAAATGTCTGTTCTTATGTGATCTTATTCAGAATTAAAATAATGAAGGGAAGGTTAGACTACTAATCTTTGATAATTGGAAAATAGATTGTCCATGGTGGATGAAACAAAAAGTAAGCTAAAAATTAGAAAGATTGTAATCAGAAATTAAAACGTGTGATATAAATACATCGGGCAGATAAAGAAGGAGAGTTGGGTGGTGTGTGTGCAAGCTAAATCCTCATATGTCCAAATAGGATATCAGTTCATGGTACCTAAAATGGTTAAATTAAGAATTGAGTAGTAGAAGCCTGCATAGAGGTAGAGGAAACTACCAGGAGAAATGATACAGACATTCAGTTGGGAACAGAGTGGGGCGTAGGAGACTATTACTTGTTTCCTCATAAAGTTAGTCAAGTGTTTTGTTTTTGTTTGTTTAGAAAAATTAGGATTGAATGATATAGTAAGCTAACTATATAATTGAATTTGTTGTGTAACTATAGACATTTAGTAGCATTATAAATTTGTACCTCTTCATTTGTACTGTTTTGTCTTATGATTACTGTTCCTGACCATTAGATGGCAGCAGACATTCCTAGACAATGTAGCCATGGATGGACAAGAATTTGGATCTGGTTATCTCATTTTTTAGTGTGGCTCCTGGGCCCCTTATGATACAATCATCTGTAATGTTTGTTTAAAATGCAGATATTTGGTGTAAATGTTCTCCAGGAACTGCATTTAATTGAATGCCCTATAAAAGTGACTCTTCGTAACATTCAGAAAAAAACAGATTAACAAGGACCAGGAAACTTTCCTATGTCCATAATCATGTTACTTCTTAATAAAATCTGGTTTTCTCTTCACACAGATGGTGCCTGGTGCTGGATCTGTGCCTGCCATCCAAAGAATCCCTCTACCTGGGGCAGAGATGCTCGAAGAAGAGCCTCTCTATGTGAATGCCAAACAGTACCACCGCATACTTAAGAGGAGACAAGCCCGGGCTAAACTAGAGGCAGAAGGGAAAATTCCAAAGGAGAGAAGGGTATGTGTAACATTGGGAGGGAATGTAGGAAGAGAACACCAGTGTTCTACCTTTGGAATTACCTTTTAAATGGTCTGTTTCCTTGAGTACCTTCCAAACAAGATAAGATAGCTGTTATCTTTTATAAAAGTTAGCATTTGTTATTGCTATAAACAGCTTGGACTACAAAAACAAAAAAATAACAGTGGCTTAAATAAGATTTTTTTTTTCTTTACATAAAAGAAGTCCAGAGATAGAGTGTCCTGGGCTGACAGCACATTTCCACAGTTGTGGAGACCCATTCTCCTCCTGTCTTATTGTTCTAATAGTCTTAGTATTGCTATTCATAGTCCAAGATGGCTGGTTGGGCTCCAGCCTCGAAGCAAAGGGAACAAGAAAGGCACCTGTCTTTCAAGGAAACTTTAAGGAATTTCCATATATCTCAGCCAAAAGTTTAACTACATGGCCATACTTACCTGCAAATAAGGCTAGGAAATGTGGTCTTTTTACTAAGCAGCCATTTGCCCAGCCAAAGGAGAGGATATATATCGGGAGGTAGGTAGTGATCTCCGCAATATCTTTGGGGAATCTTTTTATTATATTCATTTAGCATTCACCTTCTTATGGTAGTTATATATGGTTACCTGCTATCTAGTGTTTTCTCCAAAATTGTCGCCATAATTCAAAGTCATAATTGCCCCAGTGGCTTTGATCACAGCTTTTCCAAACTTTTGAGGATGGAATCTGTGTATTAGATAGCTATGCCAGTTCCAGCTAGTAAGAAGTTAATGGTTTTATTTATCGTTTTAGAAATACCTGCATGAGTCTCGGCACCGTCATGCCATGGCACGAAAGCGTGGTGAAGGTGGACGATTTTTCTCTCCAAAGGAAAAAGATAGTCCTCATATGCAGGTAAGAAGACTCATAACTTGCATTCTTCTTATTGCCTTGTATTTTCTTAGGTGGAAGCCTTTGCAGTGTCCTGCTATTTTCACACTAAGGATTAATCACATTCTCTAAATTGGATACAACATTGTATCCTTCCCTTTCTTTTTGGGAGGTGAGGGATTTTAAATTTTTTTTTTTTCTCTGTCCCAGTTTACATTCAATATTATTTTCAGGTATACAGCATAGTGGTTAGACGTTCATATAATTTATGCAGTGATCCCCTGATTAGTCTAGTACCCACCTGGCACTATACATAGTTGTTGCAATGTTACTGACTATATTCTCTATGCTGTACTTTACATCCCCGTGACTATTTTGTAACTAGCAATTTGAACTTCTTAATCCGTTTACCTTTTTCACCCAGTTTCCAAACCCTTCCTCCCCTGTCAACCATCAGTTTGTTCTTTGTATCTGAGTCTGTTTCTGTTTTGTTTGTTCATTTATTTGATTTTTAAGATTTCACATGTAAGTGGAATAGTATGGTGTTTGTTTTTCTCGGTCTGACTTATTTCACTTAGTATAATACCCTCTAGGTCCATCCATATTGTCGCATTACCTTTCATCTTAAAAATACCAAAGGTCTTTAATCCTGTGGCTTTTTGTCCCTGATCTTTGCCAGTTATTGATATTAATTCCTTCTTGAAATTCTCACTTTTCTTGATTTTCAAAGAACAGCAGCAGCTAACACTTTAACTGCTATGTGCTAGCCATTAAGTTAAGTACTTTTATAAGTTTTTTTTCCCCACTGAATTTTTACAGCATCCTCAAGCCCCATGAGATAAGAGTTACATTTCCGTTTTATAGTTGAATGTGAGGTTTAGAGAAGTTAAGTAGTTCGCCTAAGATAAAATACTTAATAAAGTGGTACAACTGAAATTCAAGTCCAGATAGTATAATTCCAGAACTTATTCTGTAACTATATTATACTGGTTTTTACATCTAATTCTGCTGATTTTGTCTTATTGGCATTTCTGAGTCAGTATATATTAATTTTTAAAAAAACTTATTTTTTTATGCCTTAACCAGTCACTCATCTCAACAAGTGATATATACATCCACCCAGTTGCCAAAGCTTGAATTGTCCACTGCTTGAAGAAGTCCTCTTGGTTTTACCTCTAAAATACAGTCTGAATTAGTTTACTTTTTTCCCTCCCAACTGCTGTCAGCCTGGTCTAATCCTCCATTCTTTTGCTTCAGTTAATATAACAGCTGCCTACTGCTCTCCCTTCTTCCACTCTTGTGCCCCTCTCATCCATTATCCACATCTTAGTGTGGTCTTTTTGAAATGTATATATCATATCACATCACTGTCCTACTTAAACCTCTTCTATTCTCACCCTTTCCCATTTGCACTTAGACTAAAATCCAAAGTGCTTGCTTAGGCCAACAAGGTCCTGTGTGATCGAGGTCCTGCCTACCTCTGGCTTCATTTCCTCCTGATCTTTGGCCTTTATGCTCTTGCTGTACTTACTGTCATCGGTCTGTCTTCTGCCATTAGGACCTTTGTCTTTGAAATAGCCAGTCTGTAAAGCTTTTTACTCCAATTTTTTGCATGACTGGCTTTTTATCTTTTGGGTTTGTTGTAAATCTGAGAGTCCATCCCTAACCCAGCCTATCCATCCAAAGTAGGTCTCTTCTCCCCCATTATTTCTCCACATCTTCCTTTTTTCTTTAGAGAGTAGTAATAATTGAATGGCTTTATTTGTGTAATTGTGCAGTGGTTGTCTCCTTCACTAGACTGTCAGCTGTGTAGAGGAGAGGATTGTTTTGCTCTTGACATAACACCCCATCCAGAAGAAGCACTGAGTAAATATTTATTGAATTAATGGATCCCTCCCATTTACTGATACTTCATTCTGTATGATCATCACATCCCACCTGCACTATTGCCAAATCGGTCTTTATAAGATAGTGTGTTTTCAGTCATGTCAGGCTCCTGCTCAAGGGTACTTGCTGGTTCCTCATTTCGTACTGCATCAGATCTCAAACTATTTCTGTACGACATCTGAGAAACTTGGCTTCATCACGCCCCTCGACAATCAGACTAGGATTCCCCGGTGCTTGCGCACATGCGCACTAATGCCTATGCTATTCCTACCTGCAGTCTGAGAGCCCCTCCTTTCTCGTTATTCATGCAGGGTATAGATATAGAGTACCAGCTATGGGCATTGTGCCAGGAACTCTCCTAATTCTGTGTGCTAACAATATGACCTCGGTCAAGTTACTTAGCCTCTTTTGCCTCAGTTTCTTCACCTGTAAAGTGGGCGCAGTTGTACTTCACAGGAATGTTCTGGGGATTCCGTGTAGTAAACCACATTAGGCACCTACTTAGCCTAATGCATTGTACTCCTAGTGCATGGTGACAGCTCAGTAAATGCTGGTTATTGTTCTTGCTCATTGATCAAGACACAGCTCCAGCTCTACCATCTTCAGAAATCTTTCAGCTTTTCCTCGGATCATGCCAACATGAGACTTCAGGGCCTTGGTGTGGAAGAACTGAAGGCTTCCATGGACTGATGCTTGTCTTAACACTGCAGGCTTTAAGTGAGAGGCGGCAGGCAGAATGAACGGAAAGATGGTTCAGTGGGAGCTTTGGGAGCTAGTCCTTGCTGGGGTCCTGAGTAACTTTCTGACTCTAGTTCAAGCACATCAGTTTATCCACCGGGCGTCAGTTTTACCTATAAAGTGAGTGCATTAAAGTAAATAAATTCCAATGTCCTTTCTATTCCAGTGTCGCTCAGCTCTGCTAAGTGCTCAGTATTTAAATACAAGAAAATAATGACACAAAAATACAGCATGACATGGTTTCTCTGGGTCTTTTTCTTAGCCACTTCTAAGGACCCTTAAACCTTAGGGCAGAGCACAGCACAGGTGTTTGGGAAGAGATACACCATCAACTATGGAGTGTTTGGTAATGGAGTGCCAGGCCAGATTTTTAATCCTTTTAAGAATAAGGTTTATTCCACAATTTAAAAAAAAAGAATAAGGTTTATTGTCTCTTGTTTTCTGACAAAGCTGCATTTTAATCCATGATGTATTACAGGCCTTTGGTTTACTTGGCAAAGTGGTGTCCATTCCCTTGATGATAAAGTTCCCTGTTGCTTTTGCAAAGGATTTTAATCAATGTTTGCTTTCTTTGTCTCTAGGATCCAAACCAAGCAGATGAAGAAGCAATGACACAGATCATTCGAGTGTCCTAACCCCAGACCACGTGATGGAGCTGATTAAGGTCATGTTCCTCGCCACTGTTTCCCACTGTTCCAGGAAATTGATCAGTTCTTCCGATGGGACACTGATGATCACATTCTGCCCTTTTCTACAGGACAGAAAACCACTTAATTTTTAATAAGTGGCTCAGTATTATACTTGCAGCGGTGTCTGGCAGATGAAGTTGGCAAGCCTTTGTCTCACCCTTTCAGTCGGGACCTATTTTAGACTGTTGGTGACATTGACATTTCATGGATTAGGATGATACAAGGGACCTCTGCCAGCCCAGCAGTACCACACACAGCACTTAAGTTGACTGGTGAAGCCAGCCAGCCATCTCAGCAGGGAAGAACAACCTTCTCAACCTAAACTGCAATCAGGGAAGCTACAGCCCACTCCTTCCCGTGGATTCTAAAAATCATCTATCCCTCTGATGAGGGATCTCAGGCTGATTGAAGTGAATAAACACTTAGTATTCAGAGATGACTTCCATCCAAGCAAGGAAGTTCCATCTCATGATATGGAAACAATAAATTCTCTGAGACACATTCAATCTAATCTGTGGTAATAATAAGAATCTCTGATCAGATGATAGGTTGGTATTTTTGGACTCCAGCCAAGAAAAAGCTAATTCTGGGGATAGGATTTTAAAAGACTCAAACACTAAATATATAAATTGTTGAATTGATTTTAGCTTTGACAAGTTGTGGTCTGCTTGTCTGTCTTTTGAGGTCATCTGTACCATAGTTCTTACTATGGCTACTCCTAAGACAATTTAGAAGGTATTGGACCTTGAAACTGCCTTTTAAGTAAAGAACAAAACAATACAACAAAAATACAACAGCTTCTGTGGTGAAGTGCTAAGGACATTTTGTACTAACTCCTACTAAACAGAGCCAAACTAGAGATTTTCAATCATAGGCTTGGTGACAGCATTTGGGAAAATGAGGGATTTGTGTGTGTTTCAGTTTAGAAGAAGAGAGACAGTAGTATATATACCCATGTGTTGTCATATAGCATGATTCTCCAGTGGATGGATCATTAAGATGAAGAGAACAATTTACATTTACACTAACCTTTCACTAAGCACGGAAAAGGAGAAGTCTGAGATTTGGTCCTTGACAATTTCTGGAAAGCACTGTTCAATCAAGCTGTCCTGGACACAACTCCATGTTACCTGCCAGAGCTTGAGGTGCATGTTGGCTTCACTCCTGCAGCGCTTTGTGCTGGCCACAGGGAGCTAACATTCTCATTCTTCCCATGGCAGCTGACTTTGGTGCCAGTTTCCATTTCTTTCCCCGTTTCTTCATAGGCCTTGTGCAGAAAGGTTTTCACATTGCACCCACATTTTGCAAATAACTGCAGACCAGAAATAGAGGTGCCTGCAGTTTCAGACACTAGGTCACAGTTCCCAGAATGAGTTGTGCCTCAGAAATCTATTTCCTTTCTAGATGTTGAACCCTGGGAGAAATAAGATATTTCAGAAGAGTTGCTGCCTTCTCTGGAAACAACGAAGGAAAACTTAATTTTTTTGAAGAACATTTGGGTTTGACTTAAATACCAAGAGTAAAGATTGGCTCTGGCTTTTTAGAATTTTATTAAGAAGGAAAAGATATTAAATCCTCTAAAGAAAACATCACAAATGGAAATCATTGTAATGGTATAAATAGAGGTACAGAACTATGCAAAGGAAGCAGAAAGTGTGAAGTATCTTCCTAGTTCCTGGAATCTAGTCATCTGTCCTAGCTTCCAGGTATCGGGAGAGGCTGATACTGCGTTTGGTAAGCTCACTAGAATCTTACGGCTCTTTACATGAGTTTCTGATACGTGTTCAGTAAGCCCCAAGTTTTTCAGATGATAGATTACTAAAAACCATGAGGAATTTATATCCCTTGGTTTGTTTAGGAATCATTAAGATGCGCAGAGTTCAGAAAGAAATTCCTGAGACCTAATTTCTACTACTAAAGTCAGCAGTTCTAAAATGCTATTTATTTGTGTCTATAAGTTTGTACATAGTAATACCAACCTCAAATCGTTGCAGAATTTTTTATGTTTTCATGAATTTAAGTCGTTTGAACTGAAATGCTTCAGTTATTTTGTCTTTGCATTTCAGCTAACTCATGACCTTTTTATTGTGGTCATTTTAGCACACCATAATAACCCACAAAGTGTGTGTGGGGGTTGAGATTTGGATTTTTTCTTTATTTGTTAAACTAGAAGTTCTTTTATTCATTTGTCCTTGTGACTAGTGATGATTTCATAGATGCAGAGTGAATGGATGAGTGAATAATTGGTTTAATGCATAGTTATTTCACTTGAGTGCTGTTTTTGCAGGATAATTGTAAATGTATATCTTTTAATTACACTGGTACCTTGAACATGTCAGTGTCTGTACCACTGGACCAACAACAGTTTCTGGCTATTGGGTGCCTGATAATAATGTCTTGATTTTCCTTTGGGACTCAACTATATAGAAGGTTCACCTCCCCCCCCCACCCCCACCCCCAGGAGTAGGGGGAGTACAGGTGATTGATTATTGATGTCATTGCAATTGTTATTTTTTAAAATAAATTTATAAAAACAATAAAAAGTGATTTGTATTTTGAGGAGTCTCCATCCCCTGGATTCTAGGTTTTGTTTATAATGTTGAAATTGTGACCTCTGTAAACAGATGTGACCTCTGTGGATAGTGTCAAATTTGTAACGTCCAGTCTCTTAGCCAGCTCTCTCCCATTAATTTCTTTTCCTTCTCTTTTGGTGCTTCCACCCTGCTGAGGAGATATTTTCTGTCACTTGTGGGCTGATCATATTTAGTCTTACTACTGGAAATGTTAAAATGCAAAGGAGTAATTCCATGAGTAAAATTAGCCTACCAAAACGGTGTTGATTTGTTAGGTGGTGTGGAACTACAGTGAAGGTGTAATTTTTAGATTTTGTTTTTATTTCTGCAGAGAAAAAAAAAATTTTCTGATTGTTAAAAAGCCACAGCGTGCTCAGCCTGTTACTGCTGTGTGTTCCCCATGAATCAAGCAACAACCTAAAGTGTGCCATTATCGTAAATATAAGCCTCAGAACCAGATGTGAAAAGAACAACAGCCTGGGGAGCCCTCCCGGGAGAGACCCAATAGATCTGCCCTGGCAGACAACAGAAATAGAAGGAACTCTGCCTGACAATTGAAACGGACTAACAGTTAAACAGGCCTAGTCTAGTGGTGGTGGATTTAAAGACCACCCTGAGTTTGCTTTATAGTCAGTCAGATGCCCATGGAACTTGTCCTTAGAAATTCAGGGATGACCCAAGTTTGTACATCATCGTATGAAGCAAAGACTACCCTATTGCTATTTATTTTAGATAACCTGTTTTATCGTAGAGTACCTTCACTATCACGTTTCAACATTAAAAAACAGCTTTGCTACTTCGAAAGAGCTGCTCTGCGCTGCCTACCGCCTCTCCACCTGGAAGCCAGAGCTGGGGCTACGCAGCCAGAAGCAGGTGGGCGGGGCCCCTCGATTAGCGCTGCCACAAAGAAACCCACACTGATTGGTTCGTGGGAGGGCCCTCCAGGGCCGTCGATGCGGATTGGCTGCTATAGAGAGGGACCCTCTTTCCGGTAGCTCAGCGGTCAACCCCGCCGCCACGATGGCGACGGGTGAGCGGGTGGGGTCTTCGCTTCTGTGGCCTGTGGAGGCCCGGTTGGCGGCGCTGCTTCCCGACCTGCTGGTTTTCAGGAAGCCCCGGGGATCGGAACCCGAGCTCACCACGGCCCAGGGCGTTCTCCTTGGCGTTCACGTGATGGGTGAGGGCGAGGGGAGGTGCGTCGCTCTCCTGTCCCGCCAAAGGGTTGGCTGTTGGGCCTCAGCTCCTAGAGGCCGCTGTGGTTGCGAGCCTGGCCCCGCCTGGCGAGCTAAGGTGCAGTTGAACTGCTTCGCGCCGCCTCCTCAGGAAACGGGGGGTCATTTTCAGGGCAGGAGGACGCCTCTAGGGATGATCAAGCTTAGCCCTTGAGTTCTCTTCAGAAATGATGAAATTAAGACTCAGAAAGGGGACAGGACTTGGGGCCACACAGCAGGCTTTGAATCCAAGTTCCTCCCAATCCCGAGCATTTTCCAATAAGCATTTTTCTTCATCCAATGGTTGTGTTCACTCAATTCATTCTTTCGGTCCACAAGTATGTGCCCGCCCTTGTAGTAGTTAGAGAACTAGAGTCGTTCATTTAAGAAATATTGACGGAGTTTATGTGTCATGGATATGAAGATGAGAGATAACAAGGTGGCTTCCCTTAAGCTCAAAATACGAGTTCCCCATAAAGCATCAATCCGTTTCCTTGTCAGTGTTTATCCCTCACATGGGGGTAAATCCTGTAAGTTTCCCTCTGGCCAGGGAGCCTTAGAGGATGGTGGGAAAGAAGTAGCTCTGGCTTCAGATGAAAAGGGAAATGTGGGTGATGTTCAGCTCCTGGACACATGCAGAGGGCGGCCCTCTGGATGCTGGAGGTAGCAGCAGCACCCAGCCTGGCCCTGAGTACTCTCTAAGTAACACACCATGGTAAAGGATAATGGAATTACTCAACTCCAAGAGATCTACTTCTTCACCCTGGTCTGATGCATGGAGGGAATAGGGCCTAAAAGTGGAGCATTCGCAGCTAACAGAAATTTCTGCTTTATTGGTCAGGGTTTACAGCATTAATGGACAGGTTCAGCCTGACCTGCAAGTCGGAACAGGACATGGACAAACTGGCCCACATCTTCAGTTATTACATTAGTGACATCGTGGAGCGTGAGTGACCCTTGTAGGGGAGCGAGGAGTGTGGTGCTGGGCTTCTGAGGGACGGTAACAGAAGAGGGCCTGGGCTATTTTAGAAGAGATACTAAAGGATCATTCTTTTCATGTTACTCATCTTAAGTCTTCAGGTTGCCACTGACAAGCTAGGTCTTTACTTGTATTTGCCATTCTACTCAGTTTCACATGAGTCAACAGTTGTTGACTCCATGTTCAGACAGGGGAAAAAAAGCTGATTTTTAACTTTGCATGTTTGTCCTTTATTTCAAAATAAAATATTCCTCAGGTTGTCTCTTCAAACAATATAATGTGCCTCCTGTGTGTATACCAGATATAATTTACAAAACACTTTCCCATTCTAGTATTGCGGGGGTTTTTTGTTTTGTTTTTGTTTTTAACGTAAGAAAAATAATCAGTTTAATAATTACAATCTAGTATTGCGTTTTGATCCTGTGAGGTAGGAATGAGTGTTTTCATTATTTTCTGCCATGTATTAAGCTTGTGGATATTTGCCTAATCTGGAAAAAAGAAAACAAAAAAAAAACTATTTGTGCAGCAAACATGTTTTGAGTGCCTACTCTGTGACATGCACTGTAATAGGTGCAGAGGGTGCAAAAACCTACTCTTGAGCTTTCAGTCTAGTTAGACCTAACCAACAGAAATTACTCTGATCCTACACCCTTTAGTATTTATGTAATGTTCCCTTTCTTTACTGACAAGTGCCCCATACAGTTATGTCCATCAGAGATTCACCAGAATACTTACTTTGCGGCATCTCCTTTAGGAATGTGATTATTTGACTCACTCACCCCTTACCCCTGAGGAACAGTATAAAAGGTCTTTCAGTTTTTCTCATCAAGTTTATTTAGATGAAAGGGGGAAGACAGAAATTAAATATTAAGTAGGAATTATAATACCAGGAACTGCTGGGTACTAGAAATAAAGGGAAAATAAGACATACTACCTGCTTTTGTGGAGCCATTTTAGTGGGAGAGAGTTAATAAGTAAATGAGATAATTGTAAGTTATACATTCTACAAAGGAAATAATTAGGGTATAGTGGTTAAAAAGAATTATAGGGTGAGAGAACTGTATTAGATAGGGTATAGGCTCCTCCGAGAAGATGATGGTTAAGCTGAGACGTAAATGATGAGGGGGACACCTTGTAAAGAGCCAAGGGTACAGCATTTCAGACAGTAGAATGCCATGTTCAAAGGTTTTGAGATGGGAGAAAGCTTGGCATGTTCTCAGAACTGAGAAGGCCAGTGTGGTTAGAGCATAGCAGGGGAAGAATGGCTTGAGGTGAGGTTGGTGATCAACTCTGTAGGCCATTGTAAGGAGATTGGATTATATGTTTGTACAAAGGACAACTAGGAAGGTTCTAGCATGGAAGTGATGTGATCTCATTTACATTTTTTAAAAGCTCATTTTAGCTGCCTCATGGAGATTGGATTATAGGGAGCTGATGGAGGGTAGATATTAAGAATGGAAGCTGGAAGAGGCAATTGGAGCAGTGTAGAGAGATGATGGAGATTTGGCCTAGGGTGCTGGTTCTCAACCTTGGCAGCACATTAGATAACCACTTGGGGAGCTTTTAAAAATCTTGATATTGATGCTTCACCCCAGACCAATCAAATCAGAATATCTTGAGGTAGGACCAGGAATAGGGATTTTTTTAACGTTTCACAGGCAGTACCATTGTGCAGACAGTTAAAAATGTTGGTCTAAAGATTTGGCAGTGGAACTGTATAGAGATGGATTGATTTGAAATATGTTTTCCAGATTCTATAGACAGGATTTGCTGATGCATTGGATTTCAGTGGGAAGTGGTGTGGAAAGGGACACCCTCAAGCTTTTGGCTTTTGTAATTGAATTGATGGTGGCATCACTTCACAGTGGGAAAGGCTGGGCTTTGAGAAAGAAAATCAAGGGTTCTGTTCTGAAGATACTGAACTTGAGATGGCACTAAGTCATTCAAATGGAATAGTCAAAATGTGAATTGATGGGGCGAGTATAAATGAAGAGAAAGAGCCTAAGACTGATGTTTGAGAAACTCCAGGGGAAGGATTATGATTAGGGAGAAAGAACCTACAAAAAAGCCTGTGAGCTAGCCAGTGAAGTAGGATATTCTGGAATTCCTGAAACCAAAAGGAAGTAGTGTCTCTAGAAGAGGATGGTGGCTAGCTGGGCTGAAAATGAAAGGTGTCAAATACAGTGAGGTCAGAATATATTGAATTTAGCAAGATGAATGCTATTGATGATAAAGGGCAGAGATAAAAGTCAGATTGGAGTAAGCTGATAAGAGAATGGCAGAGAAAAAACTTAAGAATGAACAGGATATGACGAGAAAATTGTATATAGTCAATTCTTGAGATCTTTTTGGTTGTGTGTGAGTATATTATAATTTATTGAATCAATTCCATGTTAATGCCTGTTTAGTTGCTTACTTTTTTTTATTATAAAGAACAATGACATTGACATCTTAGAACATTGATCTTTTCCTGCTTGTTTTATTTCGTTCGGATAAACTACCAGAAGTGAAATATTTAGTATGAACATAAAAAAGATGCACATTTAACATTTTGATCATATTGTTCTCTCAGAAAGTTAGGTCAGCTTATACTCTTTCTAAAAAACAATATGTTTAAATGACAAGTTTTCATATCTTTGAAAATTGAGGATTATCAGTATTTTTATTACTTTTGAGAAAGAATAGATGGAAGCGATGTCTATTTTAACCTGTAATTCTTTGATTACTATCTACCAATAAGTACATTTTCCTGTATTTGTGGACTTTTTTTTTATTAGCTTCAGGTGTACAAAACAACATAATGACTAGACATTTACATCCTTCACAAAGTGATAACCACCGCCGCCCCCCCCCCCGAGTGTACTATCCCTCTGACGTTGTATATTGTATATAGCTGTTAAAATACCATTGACTATATTCCCTATGCTGTACATCCCGTGGGGAGGAAAAAAAAAATATATATATATATATATATGGTTGACTTTCAGTATTTTTCAGCTTCAGCTTCAGATGTACAAGTATAGCACAGTGGTCAGGCATCTACAAAGTCCACAAAGGGGCCTCCCCAGTAAGACAAGTACCCATCTGACACCCTACAAAATCTTTACAACATTATTGATTATATTTCCCAAACTGTCTTTCATATCCCCATGGCAATATCGTGACTACTAATTTGTACTTTCCAATCCCTTTACCTTCTCCCCCATGCCTACCCCCTCCCATCTAGCAACCATCAGCTTGGGTTTTATTGCTGGCAATGTAGCAGAAAGATGGCCCTAGCAGCTAGCAAAAAAAGGTAAAAGTCAAGAATAGGTGGGTTATCCCACCAAGAGTGCACGAGGGTTCCCTTTTCTCCACATCCTTGCCAGCAATTTTGTATGGAGTCAGATGGGCACTTGTTATTAGGGACACCACTTCATGGACCGTGTAGATGCCTGACCACTGCACTGTACACCTGAAGCTGAATAATAATGTCAACTATAATTTAATATGTATATAGTCACAGGGTGTGGAGTACACCATGGGGAATAGAGTCAATGGAATTGTAACAGCTATATACGATGTCAGAGGGATAGTAAATTGGGGGAGGGAGGTTATTACTTTGTGAGGGGTATAAATGTCTTAACTATTACAGTATTTGTACACCTAAAACTAATTAAAAAAAAAAGATAATCAGACCAGACAAGAAGCTCAAATCAAATCTTTGTGGCCTCCTTAGCCCTGTTAAGGAGGCTAGACCTTATCCCTGAGGAAAAGGGAAAGGCAAGGAAGAGTTTCAAACACGGGAATGAGGTGATCAGATTTGCACTTTTGGAATCTTCCTCTGGCTTAAGTGTGGAGAAAAAGTGGAGTGGGGTAATAATGGAGATACGATGGCTGTAATAATGGAGATAGAAAAGAGCTATAGTCCAGGAAGGAGAGGAGGATGGCCTGATCCCGGGGAGAGGCAGGAAGGGTACTGAGAAGTGTCTTAGGTTCGAGTACCATCCCTTGTCCTAGGTCTCTAAAAAAATTAATAAAGGATTGGCAAAAACAAACAAACAGGTGGGTTAATTTTGTTGTGTTTTGTTTCTGTTTTTTAAAATATTGATAAGGAACGTTCCAGTAGAGAGAAGAGAAGGCAGGGAGTGAAGTTCTTGAGAAGGTGAGCAGGGCTAAGATCCAGTGCACAGATAGAAGGGTGCTTTGAAGAGAACAGGAGTACTTCTTCCATCTTAGAGAAGACACATATAAGTACTGACAGATTTGGGGAGAAGTTGGAGGAAGGGAGAAGGAGCGTGAGCCTTCGAGTACAGAAATAGACCAGAAAAGAGATGAGGAAAAACTCAGCAGGCCATTCCTTAGACCACATATGATTCTGTATACCTCTGATTTTGACTTAACGTTCCTCTCTCTCCCATACTCAATTTCAGATGTGCTCTGTTTTGGAGGGGATGTCCTAAATATCACAGGTATTTATCTGTTTTCTGAATATTTAAAGGACTGTAACTGAGGAAGACTATATTTAGGTGGAATTTGGCATATTTGTTTATTCAGCATTGTTTGGTTATTTAATATATGCTCCGCCTGGGGAAACAAAGATGAGGACACAATCTGCCTCAAAGGGCCCCCCAGTCTAGTGGAAAGCCCTGCCCGTGTTAAGCTCACATATGCTCTACATTTTGTTTAGACTGAATGACAAAAAAACAAGTGCCTATAAAGAATTCATGAGAAAACTAATGAGCAACTTTGTCATTAGTAACAAGCTAAATGTAACATAAGGAGGAGTCAAAAGTCTGCTATCTGGCGAACTCTCAGGATCATGAACAGCTTTATGCCACAGAATTGGCCTATCTTTTTCTTTAAACTTAAACCAGCAATAAAATGAGATTTGAACATGAACTTACATTTTGTGAATCTCTTTACTAGCACCCCTCTCCTTATTTTAGTATACTGGTGGAGGGAAGGTTACCAAAACTATTCTTAAAAGTTAGGAACATTTCAGCTTCTACCTAATCATGTTTTTGTATGCTCTGTGGTTTTGAGGACCTAAAGCAATATTTTAACCTAGGAAGGGCCAAGAAATCTTGCCTGACACCTTGCATGATATCTTCTGCATTATCGGGGACTTTGCCCTGGCCAGGTGAGTCCAGATATTTGACCTCTGTCAGCCTGTCTTGTGTCTCTGCAGGGAATGTGCTCCTGGCACTCTGGACAGTGGAACAGAATCAACTAAGTGACATCATTACTCTGGTGGCAAAATGCAGTCTGGAGATACAGGAGAAATTTGGGATCTACCATACCAGAGAAGGCCAGGACCTGCAGCTAAAGATAGGTAGTAGCTACTATTAATAAAAGAAATCCAGGTGGAAAAACAAACAAAAAAAACCCAACCACTATAAAAAAATTCAAACAATAAATGACAAATTGGGTAAAATATTTGCAACTCATACAGACAAAGGGTGAATTTTTCTAACATAGAACACTTAGGAATCAAGGAAAGACTAACTTTCTAAGAGAAACATGGGCAACAGAGATGAGTAACTAGTACATAGACAAAGAAATACATCTCTTTTAACATGTGAAAAGTTGGTTAACTTCATAATAAGAAAAACGCCAATTGAAAGTACATTGAGATCGGACAGCCGGTTACCTCAATTGGTTAGAGCGTAGGCTCATAGCACCATGGTTGCTGGTTCGATTCTCACATGGGCCAGTGAGCTGCACCCTCCACAACTAGATTGACTTGGAGCTGATGGGTCTGGGAAAAACACACTGTTCCCCAATAAAATTTATTTAAAAAAAGAAAGAAAGAAAAAGTACATTGAGATCATTTCTTATATATAGATACACAAAAATTCAGATGCTGAACACATTGTGTTGAAGCTGTAAAGAGTAAGCCTTCTCATATGGTGCTGGTGAGAATCTACAGGGATACAACTTCTATGGGTTGTGATTCAGTGATCTCTATCAGGATTACAAATGCATTTATTGTTCAACCCAGCAATCCCACTTCTGAACATTTATACCTGAGCATATATGAAATGTCATGTAGAAGGTTATCGATTGCAATATACTTTGTAATAAAAGATTGAAAACAACCATAGTCATCTATAGGAGACTGATTTAATAAACACTAATATGTCTACTCAGTGAGATTCTTTCTCTGCAACTTAAAAAAAAAGATGTTCTGATATAGCAATATCTCCAAAATATAGTTGAGAAAACATAAGATGTTTGCACTGTGTTTAGTGTGCTACCTTTTTATGTAAGGAAGAAAAATAAATTTTATTTGTTTATATTTGTATTAAACACTGGGAGGATATATAAGAAACAAAAGTTATCTACAAGAGGAAAATAGTATGTAGATGGGTATATAGATGGAATCTTTTTTTTTTTTTTTAGTTTTTATTGGGGAACAACCATGGTCTTTGGTTACACATTGCTTTCATGCTACAATGGCATAGTTGACTCTTAAGGAGGGAGCAGCTCACAGTGGCCCATGCAGGGATCGAACTGGCAACTTGGGTGTTATCAGCACCATGCGCTAACCAACTGAGCAAATGGATCACATGGAATCAGAGTTTTTAATGTATATTCATATATTGGGTTGTTGAAAAAGTCATGATACATTTTTGCAACAAAAAACAGAAAAAATACATCATGACTTTTCTGACAACCCAATAGTTTGGTTTTTGAACTATGTTGTTGTCTTATATAATAAAAAAAAAAACACAATAAAAATCGGGGTGGCTGGTTAGCTCAGGTGGTTAGAGCACAGGCTCATAATACCAAGGTTGCCGATTCGATTCCCACATGGGCCAAGGCACTGTGCCCTCCACAATTAGATTGAAACAACTACTTCACTTGGAGCTAATGGGTCCTGGAAAAACACACTTTTCCCCAATAAAATTTCCAAAAAAAACCCCCAAAATTGAAAAGCTGCACACACAGTCAGGATGGTGGGGGAAGCTCTATACACAAAGCTTCTTCGCAGGAGTTCAGAAACATCCAGGGGGTTTTGAATTAAGGCAAAAGTTGGCTGCCACTTTTCATTTATATTTTGAGGAGCAGTTGTGAAGAATCATATTCTGTCTTATATATCATCTCCTGACCTACAATTTTTTTGGTATTTTTTTCTTATTGGGGGATAATTAATAATTGATACTGAATATAGATATATTTATATACTTTTGAAATGACCATGCAATCAAGATAATGAACATGTCCACACTCACAAAAGTTTCCTTGTGCCCATTTATAAACCCTCCCCCACACTGCTCCCCTCTTTATCCCCAAGCATCCACTTTCTATCATTAGATTTTATTTTGCATTTTTAAACAAGTTATATAAGTGGATTTATACTACAGTATGTACATTTTGGTTACTTTAATTCAGCATAATTATTTTGAGATTCATCCATGTTGTGTGTTATCAACAGTGCATTCCTTTTTATTGCTAAGTAGTATTCTGTTGTATGGATATACTACAATTTGTTTATCCTTTCACTTTTGATAGACAATTGAGGTGTCAAATTTTTGGCTATTAGAAATAAATCTGTTATGGCTTTTGTGGATCAGGAGTTGGACCACAGCACCTTCCATTCCTCCCAGCCTTTCCTCCTCCTGCAGGACGAAGCACAATAGAACTTTGTTATTTTGCCTTTCACTCTGAGGGAAGAGAAGCAGATGATGAGGAGAAAATAATAAATGTCAAAGGAAAAGTGATTCTGTCAATGATGGTTTTCTCAACTGTAATTGTTGTGTTTTGGGGATATATCAATAGCCCAGAAGGCTCTTTCCTGTGGATATATCACTCAAAAAACCCAGAACTTGGTGACAGCGGCAGTCAGAAGGGCTAATGGTTTCTAAGCTGATTTAAGAATGGGACCCACAATTACCAAGGGGAAGAAGAAGACATAGACAAAGACAAAGAACAAAGAAAGGAAGACAATGAAGAAAAGCTTAAGATTTTGGACTGGTTTCATCCACAGAAACGCCTAGAGGTTGTGATGGTGACCAGATGGAAGGTGCCAGTTGTGTGGAAAGGCACTTACAACAGAGGCATCTTAGAAAATTACTATGGCAAACAAAATCACTGTGGGTTTGACGGTTTTTGCTACTGGAAGATACACTGAGCATTACTTGAAGGAGTTCTTAACATCTGCTAACAGGCACTTCATGGTTGGCCACAAAGTCCTATTTTACATCATGGTGGTTGCCTTCAATAGAGCTGGGTCTTCTGCATTCCTTCAGAGTGTTTGAGGTCCAGCCTGGGAAGAGGTGGCAGAACATCAGCATGACATGCACGTGAAGACCACTGGGGAGCACATGACCCACATCCAGCACAAGGTCGACTTCCTCTTCTGCATGGACATGGACCAGCTCTTCCAGGACACCTTTGGGGTGGAGACACTGGGCCAGTCAGTGGCTCAGCTACAGGCCTCGTGGTGCAAGGCAGATCCTGACAAGTTCACCTCTGAGAGGCGGAAGGAGTTTGCAGCACACATTGCATTCAGCCAGGGAGATTTTTATTACCACACGGCCATTTTTGGAGGAACACCCATTCAGGTCCTAAACATCATCCAGGAGTGCTTCAAAGGCATCCTCCAGAACAAGAGAAATGACATAGAAGCTGAGGGGCACGATGAAAGCCACCTTAACAAGTATTTCCTTCTCAACAAACCCATGAAAACTTTTTTCCCAGAATATTGCTGGGGTTATCTTATAGGCCTGCCTTCAGGTATTAAACCTGTGAAGATAGCTTGCCAGACAAAAGAATATAATTCAGCTAGAAATAATATTTGACTTTAAATTGTGCCAGTAGATTTCTGAATTTGAGAGAGTAATATTCTTGCTACTTCCTCAGAAAAGTAACTTAATTTTAACTTAAAAAGAAATACTAACAAAACATCAACCCAGCAAGTACATACGATTCCTCCTTTTAACTGAGCCTTGTAATATGGGAGAATGAACCTATGGCAATCAGATGTGAATTCCCAGTGATTTCCTATCTATCCTGGGTTTGGGGAAATACTATCAGCTGAACCAAAAAAAATTTTTTTTTATGTCACAGGCAAAGAAAAAGCCAGAAAGAAACACAGTACATGTGCCAGACAATGTACTGAAGAAAAGGGTGCTAAGGGAAGTGTTTGGCAACAAGATACAATTGTGGGGAGTTCCGCTTGATTTCAGTGTTTTCCTGTCTTTGCTGAGTCTAAAGCAACATAGAGTTGCTTTGCAGCAGAACTCTGGGTGAGGGCACAGTACCTTGGCAATCTTCAAATGGTTTCAATAGCAGGTTGCTTCAGGCCATTTGTAGTCCACGTCCTTTTCTCTCAGGATGTTGTTTGGCTTCTGTGCAAAAGATTGGTGGAGATTGTCATTGGATATCATGGTGGTGAATGTTTGTAGTCACAGAGGATCTGAATGAGCCAGTGGGTGCTCAGGAAGTGAAAACAAAGCCTCAAAGTGAGATTGCATGAAATAGCAAAGAGAGAGTGGTAAGACGGGACAGTGCCACCTCAGAGGAGCACAGGACATGGGGTTGGTGCTTTAATACAGCATGGATCCAAGCACTGAATGGGAGGGGGGACAATGTGGATGGTCTCCAGCCTCCTCAATACAATGACAACCAGAGCAGAGGGGACTTGAATGGAAGATGCTTCTTGTTTTGCCCAAGTCACATTCACTCTGCTATTCTGCAACTTGTGTCTTCAAATCTTTGACCAGAGGAAGTAGATGGTGTCAGAGAAGACAAAGGCCTGCACTGGATTGAAGAGACTTACAAGGAGTTACATTTCCCAGACCTGGGCTTCATGGCAATCAGTTATTCCTGATGTGGGCTTCATGACATCCAGTTATCAGCAAGTCCCTCTGCTACCTCCTTCAACCCTCAGAGTCCCTCAACCTATCATGGCTGACATCAAGTTGTAGATTGGAGGAAAAGCTCTCCCATCAAATAACCTCTAATTTTTCCCTGCCCCGTCTGCACTACTGAGGTGCAACAGCCAGACACATTTAATAAAATAGTTAATTGATTTTATATCAAAAGCAGAGGAGATGACTGAACAGCTTAACGTTCAATTCCCTTCTCTAAGAATTTCCTTCTTCAAATAATATGTAGGGCTTTATATTCTTTAAAGTTAAGCAATTCAATGTAAAGCAAAGTAGGAGGCAATATTTATATATGCAGGAATATTTATATTTTGGTTGTGTTCCAGTTTAGGTCATTTGTTTCCATTTTTAAGCAATTTATTAGAAGAACCATTGTACTGGCTTGATGTTCAGTACAGTGGGCTTCTCTGCTAAAATGAAACCTACATTTTCTCCACCATTGACTTGTATCTCCTACTCTTCACTTCTTGCCAAAAAATATCACCACCCAGCAAAACAAAGCCAACAAAAACCCTGAAGAAGTGGACTTTGTAAAAGAAAAAGGATATCACGTGTCAGTTAGGACTCTTGCTTCTCTGTAACTCAGGTTTCCTGGGATCCATTCTGGAGTACGAAAGTTAAGTGATTTAAGTCCTAAAAGAAATCCTGAAAGAATCTAGAAAAGGGCTGATGTTTACTTTTGAAGGATTATTGATTTTTTAAAAATTTATTAAATTTAAATCCTGAGTGGACAAACTAAAGATCTCATTAATAGTTATTCTTAAACATTAAAAACAAGTTGCTGATTTACAATTGAATAAATTATTTTCTCATTAAAAAAATAGATAAAGGGCCGGCCGAGTGGCGCGATGGTTAAGAACTGGCTTGGGACGCCAGAGGGCCCCGGTTCGGATCCCACATATGAGGGCCGATGACACTGCCCTCTAAAAAAAAAAAAAAAAAATAGATAAAGCTGTTATGAACATCAGCGTACAGGTCTTTGCATGGACATATGCATTTGTTTCTCTTGGGTAAACATACATCTACCATATGACCCAGACCTTTGGTCTGGGTCATATGGTAGATGTATGTTTACCTTTTTAGGAAATTGCTAATGTTTTTTCCAAATTGGTTGTACCATTTTACATTCCCACCAGCAATGTATGAGGGTTCCAATTTCTCCATGTCCTTGTCAATACTTATTATTTTCTCTTTGAAGAACTTTCTTCAACATTTCTCATAGTATGAGTTTGCTGGAGATGTGTTAGTTCAGCTCTTGTATGTCTGAAAAACACCTTTACTTCACCTCTGTTTTTGAAAGGCATTTTCACTAGGTACAGAATTCTATGTTGACAGGGATTTTTTTCTCTCTTACATTAAAGCTGCTGTTCCACTGTCTTCTTCCTTGCAATGTTTCCAACAAGAAGTCTGCTTTAATTTTTGTCTTTGTATATAACATGTCCTTTTTTTCTTCTGGCTACTTTTAAGATTTTTTCTTTATCACTTGTTTTAGGTAATCTGATTATGATGTGCCTTGGTGCCATTTTCTTCATTTTTCTTGTGCTTAGGACTCATTGAGCTTCTTTGATGTATAGGCATTTAGTTTTTATCAAATTTAGAAAATGTTCTATTATTTCTTCAAATAACTTTTTTTGTTTCTCTCTGCCTCTCTCCACTTTCACACATTAGACTGCTTGAAATTGTCTCATGACTCACTGGTGCTGTCTCCACTGTTTTTCTTTTTTCTCCCTGTCTTTCATTTTGGATCGTTCTTATTGCTGTGTTTTCAGGTTTACAAACCTTTTCTTTTGCAATGTCTAATTTTCCTTTGATCCTATCTAGTGCATTTTTTATCTCAAGCCTTGTAGTTTTTTGCTTAGAACTTTGATTTGGGTCTTTTTTTTTTTTTAACCTTCCATGTCTTTACTTGGTCAGTCTTTTCTCTAGGTTCTTGAATATATGGAATATAGTTAGAATTCTTTCAATATCCTTACCTACTAATTTTATCATTTGTGTTATTCTAGGTTGTGTTGATAGGTTGGTTTTTCTCCTCATTGTGGATAATATTTTCCTTTTTCTTTGCATGCCTGGTAAATTTTGGTGGGTGCCAGGCATTATGAATTTTACCTTGATAGGTGCTGGATTTTTAAAATATTGTAATATTCTTGAGCTTCGTTCTGGGATGTGGTTAGCTTGATTCTTTCAGTTATTGCTTTTAAACTTTGTTGGATGGGACCAGAGCTGCAGTTAGTCCAGGGCTAATTTTACCCTATTCCTGAACAAACCCCTTCTGAGTTCTGTACCTAATGTCCTGTGAATTATTGTTTGACACTCTGGCTAGTGGGAGCAGGAACTATTCCCAGCCCTGTGTGATGTCAAGGATTGTTCCTTCTAACCTTTTCAGGTGGTTCTTTCCCTGGCCTCAGGTGGTTTCCTCACATTGATGCACATAAGTATTCAGTTAATTTAGTACTCAGCTAAAAACTTGAGGTGAGGACCCTGTACAGATTGCTGGAGTTTTCTCTGCATATATCTCTCCAGTATTCACAGTGACCTATGAACTCTAGCCACTTTTGCCTCTTCAGACTCTGAGCCCTATCTCCTCAGCTCAGGGTGCCTCTGGGATGCACCTGGGTTTTCACTCCTGAGATGTGTCCTGGAAACTCTCCAGACAGTAAGTTGGGGTATCAGAGGGTTCACCTTGTTTGCTTCCCATTTCTCAAACATCATTGTCCTCTGTTACCTGACATCCCACTACCTTCAAAATTATCTCATGTATTCTTTCCAGTTTATTAGTTGTTCCCAAGCATTATGGTAAATTCACTACCTGTTTTCCATCATGGCCAGAAGCATAAGTCTTTGCCCTTCTCTTATAATTGTTTTCCCCTTGTTTTTAGCTTAGGTTGGGTGCCTTCATTAAGGGTAGACTTCTCTTAGTTATAGTCACTTTTCCCCTGGTGAGCAAACCATTTTTTTAGAAATGTTAGCAGTAATAAATCCCTCAGGACAACAAAAACTGGAGGTAGAATAAAAGTGTATGGCAAAGCCCATGTCTGGTAAAATACTGATTGTCATCAGCCCTGGTTACATGTGAGGAAGGATGATGGAATCACTGTGACAGCAATTTCTGAGCATAATCATTAGGCCCCTGCCATGAGAACCTAGCTGTCCATGAGAAGAGCAATTTAGAGACACGATTCTTAGAAGCCTGGAATCTTTTGTTCTTCTCCCATAGAACCCAGGCTCTTTTGAATGTCTGTCTCTAGGTATGTTTGAAACAGAAGGAAATCTGGGGCAAGGTATTATTTTTCAAGGCGAGATCACCCAATACTTCTGCAACTATGGACAATAACAAGATTGGCATGATGCATAGAGCAATGTAAAGATTCCAGAACCCTTCCTTTGCATAGTTTTCCAGTTGAGTTTAGCTGTTCACCACTTGTCTCCTTTTTTTCTGGATAGGTCTGTCTGCAGGTCGGATTTCCCAAGTTATTGTTGGAGATGAGCAGCGACAATACTTCTTGGTGATTGGACAAGATGTGGACGATGTCCAGTTAGCTCAGCGCTTGGCTCAGGCAAATGAGATTGTCTTGTCCTGGAACTGCTGGAAGCTCTGTGAGCAGTACATGTTTGAAGTGGAAATCATGAGGGAGGATGAAGCTGTGAAGGTAGGAGACTGGCCCCATCCATTGCACATCCTGAAAAGGCCTTTCTGCTACACTGGGCAGTGTGCTGCTGGTGGTCACGTTGTCTAACCAAACCAATAACCATTGGAACTCTATTTTGGAGGGAGGTGGGGGATATTCTCCCAAAAAGATGGATGAGGCAGAACAGTAAGTCTGGAAAGATAATGGTAGACAAGGGAGATGGAATTCTCAGCCCCTCTGTTAAGGACCCAGAGGTAATCCAGTTGGTGAGTGGGCACAGAATTGAGCAGTTTTCTTTCTATAGTTAAGAGATATGCGAACCATTGACCCATTTGATTTTGATGAGCATTTTGACAAGTGCCTCGATTATCTGCCCCATTACCGGACAAGTTCTGGTAAGTTACTTTATTCTTTCTACCTAAACCCAAAATTTTAAAGATTAATTTTCCACGTGGCTGGAAACATTTTGTTTTATTTTGTTTTGTTTTGTTTTCCTTTTCTCAGACATCCTAAGAACTGCCTTGGAGTTGGATCCAGACTCTGCCCTTGAGAAAACCCTGCGGAAGCACATAATGAAAAACCTTTTGAAGAAGGTTATTTCCTAGTTCTTAATCATAAAGTAGACTATGCATCTGTTTAGGTGAACAGGTGTACATTTATATGTGACAGCCTTTTTGTATTGATCTAGCTCATCTTCTGCTCCCCATTGTAATACCAGCAGATTTCCCCATCTACACCAATTGTTGTGATGACGTGCTTATAACTATAATTAGATTCCTCAGTCCCAGAAAGCAAGAGTCATGTTTATTTTTCAGTTTGTCCTTCAAGAAACTAGTACACTGTATAGCAGGATAGAGAGTAATTATATACTTGGTAAATATGTGTTGACTGATTGTGTATATATAAATATATGTGAATCCATTTAAGTGATATAATGACTAATGGAATTGGAGATATCAAACTTATTCTTAGAAAAATATAAAAACCTAGCATTTAGGTTTAAAGTCAAACAGTGTTGTTGTTTTTTGTTTGTTTGTTTTTTGTCTTAGCTGAGCCATTCTGCCACCTGTTGGCAGCGCAGCTTGGGCTGGGACTCAAACCGCTGTTGCTCAGAGTTCACACTCTTGAGTGAGCTCTTAACCAACTGAGCCACTCGGCCAGCACCAAACAGTTTTTATTCGAAGCGCACTGGTTTGTATATCTTCTAGATCTCGCAAACCTGAATTTTCTTTTAAGTTTTTGTCTGACATCCTTAAGTTATTTTCTCATACTCACCATGGGATATGGAATTAGGATTTCTGAACATGACACTGAGAGTTGAAGATACAGGCAAGGTAATTCACTGTGTCTTTGTAGATTGATGAAGGCCAACCTATGGAGTATATATCGGAATTCCGTACCATGACTATGGTTTTGGTCAGCCTAGAGTTCCACAAGACAGCACGGATGTTGCATTTCTGTCATCTTATCCAGGAGGCTGCCTTATATATCTCCACAGTCATAGAGACAGGGGGTGGCCAGCTGATCCGGATCTTTGTGTTTGAGAAAGTAAGTATAAGGGAACCGGACTCACCAGCCTTAAAGGGGATTGAGGAATGTAGTCTTGTTTGACCAGTTTGCCTCCCCTATAGTACAGGCATAAGTCATATTCCTTGCTACTTATTTTGTAACAAGCTATTTTACATTAAAACTTCAACTAATAATAGTTAAGGAATGGGAGGTTCTAGTTATTTAATTTTCAGGGTAATTGAGGATAAGTCTCTATATCCTTTTTGATTCAGTTATTGTTGAAAAATCCTTGTGAAACCATGAGGAATGCTTTTCTGGCACTATTAGGAAAGTAAACGTAATCAGATCTTTCTCAGATAATTGAGGAACTTGAAAAAGAGCACTATCATCATAATACTTGACATTATAGGTGGAGAAAATGTGGTCACATAGACTTAGTTCAAGGTATACACTAGAGATTGAATTTTTGAGAAGTTCTTGGCATTCATTTTTCTTATGTTTTAAATTTAGTTCTTAGAACAGTTAGTTATATTAAGATTTTATGTCTTCTTTTAAAAATCTCCATGTTGATTTGATCCAGAGTGTTCATTTCATGAATCGTAGAATCCTACACTCCTAGCAGAAGACCAGTCAGGAAAGGGTCTGGCTTCATTCAGGGAAGTCGGTTCAGTTGAGGCAAGCCGTAGTCCTTCCCCAGGTAAATGCTGTTTTCTTTCTTTGTCATCTGTCCCAGCGCTGCACGTTCCTCTGTGGGTTTGGCCTTCCTGGGGATAAGAAGCTAGATGAGTGTACACGTGCCCTGGAGAGCTCCTTCAGCATCTTCCGCTTCTGCTCGGAGAATCTCGCTGAGATCAAGTGAGGAGGAAGTGGGGGCAGAGAGGAGCTTCTCAGGCCCCGGGAGGCTCTTCGGGCAGGGTCAGAGGCAGTAACAAGCAGCAGGGCTTGAGGGCATCCAGAATCCGCCTAAAAGGGAAGGAACATGCAGAGGGAAGTCAGAAAACAAAATCTATTAAGAAATCACTAGTTACAGAACAGTGTACTACATACCCAGAGTATCTAGTATCTAGTACCTGAAGATAGTTTCCATCCAATGGGGTAGGAGAGGGGGAAGAACAGAACACACATGGCAAGATTCAAGAACACTGCAAAGGAACAAGCGAATGTATAAATGAATATAACACAAATAAAATATCTGTATATGGAGAGAATTCAGAACAAAGGTTGCCTGTCTACAGGGAGAGAAGGTGTGAGGCAATTACCTAGGTAGGAAGGGACCACGCTGGTTAGTGCTCTCCTCTGGTTTTCACTCTTCATCTTTCCCAGTCCCATTGAGTTTTCTTGAATTCACACTGATCTGATCACCCTCTTTCACATCCATCCCCCTCCCCCTCACCTTCTGTGAAAGCCTAGTCCTAAGGAAGGTAGAGAAAATTTCATTTTCCCACTGGTTTCACTATGACAAGGTTGGTGTGAATTTTTCAAATGACTTTTTTTTTCCGTTAGAAAGCTGTGGGGAAAGTGTGTATATGAATGGATTTTAAAAACAGTGATTTCTAATGTTAACATTGAGTCAAAGATTTGTTTGCTTGCCATACTTACTCAAGATGAATAAAATTATATCACATTTATATAGCGCTTTAACATTTATAGAATAATACATGCTACCAGTGTGAAAATGTTTCTCTCTCATTTACATATGAGGAAACTAAGGCCACAGAAGAGAAGTTACTAGCATACAGCAGAGCTGGTAATAAAACCCTAATCTTTTGTCCTCAATTTCTGTGTCATTTTCATTGTCTCACAGCTGCCTCTCATAAAATGCAAATACTCCCCAAAAGAGATATCATATATTACTAATGTGATATAATGATAGAGGTATACTCATAGAATGTTAGTACAGTAATACCTTGGTTTGCAAGCATAATTCGTTCCGGAAACAAACTACTAGTATTGCAAGACATCTCTCGTTTACCAAGTTAAAATGTATTAGAAATGTTTGCTCATCTTGTGGAACTCGCAAATCAAGTTACTCGCAATCCAAGGTTTTACTGTATTGAAAAGGAACTTAGATGATCGGATCCAGCTCCTTATTTTACAGATATATAGATGCTACAGTTGCTTCACAGATACTCAGACTCCTAGCCCAAGACAGATATGTGTTGGCACTTCTTTCAGGCTTGGTGGGATCTACAGATACTCCTACAACCTACTTTCCTATCTTATCTCCAGTATGGGTGTGCTGGGCTGTTCCTTCCAGTGCCGGTCTAGTCTGCTCTTGAATTCTGCGTTGACTTGTGGCCTTCAAAAGTCCCACCCTTGGTACTTGCTCCTTAATGAGATGGTCATTTCTTTGGCCTTTAATAGAGGCGGTCTTACAATGCCCATAAGGATGTCTTCTATGATTCTTAGGCCATAACTTGGCTCTTTTAGTCTTATTTAGTTTAGAATATAGTAGATGTGTAGAGCTACATAGGATCTTAGAGTTTATTTAATCTGACCTCTTCAATTTAAGGAAACTAATATCCAGAGATTATGTTGGTAAACCAAATAGCTTGACAATGCCAGAGTGTGAAAGCTAGTTTCAAGGTCTGTGTTTTTTTCCCTTGAAGACAATTACTAATTCAGTAGTTTTGCAAGGTGTATTTGTTAGAACAGTAGTTCCTTAATAACTCATGACAAAAAATATATTCATGGCCAAATATGTTTGGGAAGCAATGCAAACTATTTTTCCTTCTTGGAGGTTGACAACATACATTAACATTAAATGTTCTGAGTAGTCCTGCAATAAAGAAATTTGGGATATTTTGTTTTACTCAACATTCCCCAAATTTACTTGCTCACCACTTTTCTCCAGAAAGACCTATAAACATCAAGAAGAACAAATGTTCTGAAGAGCCTATTTTGGGAAATGCTGCTGTAACCAGATGCTGAAGCTTGTCTTCTTCACCATAGTTCATACATACGAGGTTCATACAAGCCTCAAAGATGCCTGCGCGGCCTCAGTAGCAGATATTCTTGCTCATGCCTCTACATCAGTACATCAGCGTCTCTCAGACCCCAAACCACATTCCATGTCTCCTTTCTCAATGACCTTCTTCACCTTGGGTCTTCTAAATTCTTTCTAATCTCAGACATACCTTCAGTTTTCAACTCATTTACAGAAGAAAGATCATTTCCAGAGTCCAGTGATTGATCAGATTTTTCTGGTGTGTGACTATTTCTCCAGGATATTTTTGAGACCCAAGGAGTGCAGTCTTGGAATCTCATTTTTACAGTTTTTCAACACCAGAAATACTTTAGGTATATTGTATAAAATATATATATATGAAAGAATATATTCTTTATCAGTGAAGAACATTTTTAAGAGAATGAACATGGACTGCTAGGAAGGGCCAGAGGATTATAAAGTACAATGGAAAAAAATGAGAAGTAACCAAATGAGAAAAGTATTGTTTCATTATCATCATCTTGTTAATAGCTGTGTTTCTCACATGCATAAATGCATTCATGCTACCAGCATTCGTTAAACACAGCTACGAGCCAGGCATTGTGCTGGGTGTGATGGACATGAAGAGAAATAGGACGCTACCTCCTCAGCTAAGAAAATAACTATCTTTAATACAATGAAATTTAAGTGCAAGAATAATGTTCTGTAGGAGCTACAACAAAGTGCTATGGGAAGAAACAGTTCGTTCTCACCAGAGGTATCAGGGAAGCCTTGACCATAGAGATAACTTCTGAACCAGGTTGAGAAGGAAAGGAGTTTTCAGTAGGTGGAGAAAATGGGAAAGGGCATTATAGACAAAGGCAGTATCATGAAACATTAGAAGATTTTTAGTCTTGTTCTTGGTCTGGCAGCAGAACCAGTTGTCTGGTTTTTGCCTTGGGGAGTCTCTCTTATTTGCCCTGGGCAATGGGTCCAGTGAATGAATGGTAGGAGGCTTCAGTCCTGTCCTTACAGGGAGGCATGAGAATTTAATGTCATAGGGACAAAAATGTTGGGATTGTTGTCACTATCCACGCTCTACAAACAACTGAAAATTGTTATTTGTAGATTTAACTTAAAACTATGCTCCTTGCACCCTCTTTCTCCATCCACACCTCTTGTTATCCGTTGCATGAAATTTTCACGTCTGTCAAGTAAATCTACTCATTCTCTGTTATGTATGAATTGTTCATTACCACCTTTGATTGAGCCTTTGCCTCACCTGGAATTTATATTTCCAGTACTTTTCCATCCATGGCCTAGGAAGGACCACGTCTCCGTTCATCTCTCCCTGCTCCAAGCACCTTCTGTGCTCTAGCCTTCTTGAACTATTTAGTTTTTCAGAAACACACTAGGCTTTACAAAACCTATGTCTTTTCCCACTAGACAGAATGCTGTTGCTCACTTCGGCAGTATTTCAAGTTTCAAGGTCCAGATTATGTCCTCTCCTTTATGAGGATGCTTTCTACTCTCCAGTTAATGCATCCCTTCTGGTCACTCTGTTAGTTTGCTGTACTGATCTCTGATATGTAGTATTTGTCTTGCTAATTTATAAATATGTCTTTTCACCTCCCTCAATCCCTACCACCCTCCACCCCAGACGGACTTCCCCAGGGCAGGGTATTTTTGTACAGGTCTTACTGTATTAATAGCCCAATGCTTGGTACTGTACATGCTTCTCAATGCTTATTAAACAAATGAACATTTGCATGCATGCATGAATGAAAAAATATTACTTATTTTTTAAAAACTTATTCCGAAGACTAGTTTGCTTCAGGAAGCCTTCCATCAGCAGCCTGACATCCTGATTATTCTTTTACTCTGACACCCTAGCATTATTTGATCCATTAACCCTGTTCTGGCATCTATTGATTCGTTTAATTTGGGGGTTTCACCTGAGGCAGTATGGTATAGTGGATGTAACATTGGTCTAGGAGTCAGGAGGCCTGGATTCTCATTCTCACTCTCCTGTTGACTTTTGCTGTATAACTTTGGGAACTTGAAAGAACTCCTTCAGTTTTTTTCTTTTATCAAAAGGGATTCATGGGGCCGGCCGAGTGGCGCGATGGTTAAGAACTCGCTTGGGATGCCAGAGGGCCCCGGTTCGGATCCCACATGTGAGGGCCAGTGACACTGACAGCAAATAGTCTGTTCCCCTTTCCCCAATTC